CATCTTGTGTGAAACACCTCACTGGAACTGAGCCCTGACATCAAATTCAACAGTGGCATTCATGCTGTCAGTGCTACAACAGCTCCCTCTCCCAGGACACGGGTGTTATCTGAGTATGGAACTGCAAAAGGAACCACTCAGACATCTAAAGTAGTTGGCTTGACTGGCAGCTGCTTGGTATTTCTGCCCAACCTGTTCTTTTGGGGTGAAACAGCCAAAGTTTGAGCAGTTTGTCCCTTCTGAAGCTGACTGCACCCTCCCACACCCCATTGCCAGCTGCTCCTGGGCACGGGGGGATGGAAGGTTCCCTCCTGCACAGCCTTGAGCAGAGCTGGCTCGAGGAAAGGAGCAGGGACAGAACCCTGAGAGCAGGGACAGCATCACATCCTCCTCCCTCCATGGTTATTCATTGGATCTTGCTTCTGGACATGGACGGAAAGGAACTTCTTAGCTACAGGTTAACATGCACCCCAAAATCCACATCCACACTCAAGATGATCCCAAAACTCTAGTAAAATGGAAATTCATTTTTTTGACAGTACAGAAAGAATCACATAACAAACATAAAAATCTTCCTTCATCCCAGGATCTCAAAATACTCTGCAAACAGTCTGACCCTTTACAAGACTGTCAAGTAGAGGCTTCTTTCCATTTTGTGAATTCTCACTTTGATAAGGAATCCACTACTCCCTGCACCTCCTTCTAGTCAGGACTAAAATGTTTATAAAGTCATATCTCCTAAAGCAGAATTAGATTAGGAAAATGATATAAAGCAACTGCTTGGATGAACAATTCAGTGAATGGTGTTCACTCAGCAGAAAATACAATTAATCCTAAAATCTTCCTTTCTCAGTGTGGAAAAAATAGTTTTTCCATTACTGGAACTCACAGGAAAAAGCAACTAGAAGCACTTTGGATGGTCATCTCCACATACATCACCAGATGTATGACATTCCACAAGCAACACTGTACAGTCAACAGCTGCCCTAAGAAGTCAGCACTGACATTTTCAAAGGGTGTAACTTGCACACTTCTCTGAGCTCATGGAGCTCCACAAATCTGATTTCCTGGTTTATTTCTACAGCAGCTCCCATCTGAGCATCAGAAACACAAATGAAACCAGCACAACCATAACCTCAGGCAGGGAGAAAGTTCAATGACACCTTTGTCACAGAACACAAATCAATACTCTGAAGGTCACTAAGGAAACCTCTGCCAGAGCCAAGATGAAAACTCAGACCAGCATTTTTATCCAGAACACCTTCCCCTTTGAAACATATTCCAGTCTCATCTAGACTGAAAGTTTAAATCTAATTTTGAATATTAAATTCTAATTTCCCTCACAATGTATGTTCTGTTTTCACCTCTTCAGTACTACTTTAACCAATTGGTTTTATATGTTTTAATAAGGCCATATGCATGGTTGGTTCTACCTAGTTTTAAATCTTGTTCTCTTCTCTCATTGCATTCTTCAATAAAAAAAATCACAATTAAGTAATACCTAAAAGAAATCAATCAAATAGTAAGAAAACAGTAAGCTAAGGTTTATTTTCCCACATGAAATATTGCCTTGCTTCCTCAAATAGTACTGCTGGCACATTTTGTATTTTGATGACAAAAATAATTTTACTAGCAAAGTATTTTAAATTGCAAAAGGAACCAGATGAACTAACATACTATGAAAGAATAATTAATTATTTCATTGCTTATTCTTTCTAACTTGCACTGTTTACAGCAGCTGCTTATTTAGCTGATTTAAGGATTCCTTTGCAGCCCATTTCAGGTTCACTGCAGATAATTCCCAGTTACACTGCAAATCCTTCTATCCTGACACATTTTGCCCTAAATGCAATTCAAGCTATCAATGCATTCTCTTCAAGAAGTCGCATTCCCTGCATGCTGAGATACATGCAAGGCATGCTTCAAAAGCCTGGATCTTTAAAGGGAAGGGTTTACATGGTTTTTTAAAGCAGGACACAATCTCAGTATTATGTATAAACTAAAACAGGAAGTCTGTTCATTTGATGGCAAAGCAGAACTTATGATACATTCAGAAAGTCCATAAAACCTTAGCAAAAGCAGAGTCTCACAGGAAATGAAAAACCAGTAATAAATGGGTTATGCAAAACTGAGATCTGAGAGTGTCATGTCTTAACACCAGATGTGTCAATGTCAAAGGAGGACAATATTTACCCACAGCTTTCACAAATGTCACCATTTTGAAGGAATGAATCTTCCTCACTATTCTCTGAAGCCAAAAAAGGACAGCTCACTATGATGAGAAATAAAACTGATAGTGGCTTAAGAGCAACATCTTTGCAGTATGTAAACCACAGCCTTATTTTAGTCACAATATCCATAATTCTGAGACACCCTGTCACAATTCACTCTCTGTAGATGACATACAGAGAGCAAGATAAAGCAGGAAGTACAGAGAGGGGTCTCAGTCCTGCAAATTGTCCTGGATGGACACACCACAAAGTCCAGGGGACAAACGTCACCCTGAGGTGAACAGCTGCCTGTTCAAACAGAGGGATTTGCTCACAAACACAGAGGGTGAGGGCCCGGCTCTGAGAGCACCAAGCCCTGGGAGTTGTGAGGAGAAAGTGGCTGAAGATGGAGTTTCCATCCTTGGAGGTATTCAATGCCAACACAAACCCATGGAACCCCTCTGGCTGGACCTGCTTTGTGCAGGGGTTCAACAGGGCAATATCCTTCCAGCCTCAGATATTCTGTGATCCTTCAGTATTCCATTCAAACACCGTTTCTTTGATCAAAGGAGAACCACCAAGTGCCCTAATCTCAATAAGACTCCTCAAAGGTAAAAAATCTTTGTGTCCACAGATCTCAGGGAAAGTTCAGGGTTCTTTTGGACTTTGCAGGTGATTAAACACTTGGGAAAATATTCTCAAAACCTTCATCAAGATTATGCATAAATCCTGAAGGCATGTGCAGCCACACAGAATCCTTACTTATTTAGGAATAAGTAAGGGATTTTTCTGCTTGTGAGCTAGAATTCTTATACCTCTGTGAACACATCATTAATTATGTGTCTGGATGGTGTCTTAGGGATGCCTCAAGGCTGTTTCAAATCCACTCTCCTGCTATAGACAGGACACAGAGAAATCAGCTGTGACTGAGGGATGCCCTCCATACCAGACACTCTGCACATCTCCACAGGTGCAGCAGCTCTGTATAACCAGGTACAGCACCAGCTCCATCTTGAAATTTCTATTTAAGAGTCCCAGAGGTTCACCAGCAAGAAATCATTTCTAAAGAAAAAAATATTTTAGTACTTGCAGAATTCTTAGAATCTGCTTAGTTCTAACTCTTGCCAGCCATCCATCAAAAATACAACAGAGCCTACTGCATCTACTTCTGTCAAGGTTTTGCAAAACAGAAAGGAGTTTTGCAGAGTTTTAAGTAGCTTTGACACTGAATCCACTCTCTGGCATTCCCCAAGTGGCTCAGTTCTGCAAATGAAAAATGGAATACAATGGAATACAAACCAGACTTTGATCATGTAATTCTTCATTGTTTTCCTATTACAGCTCTCTCTCACAGACAGCTGGGACTGCTGATGTGAGCTCAGGAGCAGTTCTGCTGCAGCCAGGCAGTGCTGGGCAGGGTCTCCCCACTGCCAAAAACATCTCAACCTCTGCACAGGGCCCAGCAGACTGCTGTGAGAGTGCTCCATGGTCCAGGCTCATGACAAACACAGCAGGAGTGGGACAGCCACTTTACACAGGGAGATGCTGTGAGGGCACATGGTTGGACATTCAGCTGTGGTACCTCCACAGCACCAGGGAATCACAGACTCACTAAGGCTGGAAAAGACCTCCAGGATACTCAAGCCCAACCTTTGACCCAACTCCACCTCATCAACTAAACCACAGCACTGCCATGTCCAGTGATTTCTGGAACACCTCCAGGGCTGGTGACTCCAGCACTCCCCTGGGCTGTCCAATGCTTGCCAGCCCTTCCCATGAAGGGCTGCAAGTCCAGAAACTCTCATGTCCACCCAAACTGACAAGAGTCAAGGGCTCCTCAGCCCCTCTTAAGTGTCCCAGACCTCTGCAGAGCTTCACACTCTGGATGACACTTGTAGGCATCTCCTGAGAGAATCTCAGGATGGTTTGGGTTGGAAGAGATGTTGAGGATCATGTATTTCCATGGGCAGGGACACCTTCCACTAAACCAGGTTGCTCCAAGGCCAGGGATGGGGCAGCCACAGCATTTCTGGGCACCCTGTGCCAGGGCCTCACCACCCTCAGAGGGAAGAATTTCTTCCTAATATCTGATCTAACCCTGCTCTTTCAGCGTGAAGCCATTCCCCTTTGTCCTGTCACTACATATACTGCAAACAGTCTTGCCTCATCCTGCCTCTGAGCTCCCTTCAGCTACTGGAAGACCACAACTTTTCTCTTTTCCAGGATGAACAATCCCAGTTCTCCCAGCTGGAGGCAGCTCTGCAGGTGGGGTCTCACCTGAGTGGGGCAGAGAGGCAGAATTGCCCCCTTCCCTGCTGTCCACACGGGGGGATCAGCCCGGGGAAGCCACTTCAGGGCCGGGGAACGGGGGCATCAGGGCCAGGGTAAGGGGTGTTCCGGCCGGGGAATGGGGGGATCAGGGCCGAGGCATGAGGGATCCCGGCTGGAGCAGGTGCAGCTCCCAGCCACCAACATCCCCGAGCTCTTCTCCCACTGCTGCTCCAGCCCGGATCGATCCCGGGGGTTGCGGTACAAACACCAGGCCGGGACAGGCTCTCATTTCACCACCGAGCCCCCCATCTCAGAGGCTGTGCGGGGAGGGCAGCAGCATCACGGGCCCGGCACAGAAATCCACACCAGCACGGCTGGCGAGCCCAGCACAGGCCCAGCTCTGGCCGCCATCTCGGGCCGCCCCCGCCCCGCCCGGCTCCATTTCCTGGGATCGGGATCGGCACCGCCCCGGGAATCGGCAGGGACGGGCCGGGCCGGCAGCGCCGCAGGTACGGGGGGCCCGGGGCTGGCACGGCGCTCCCTCATCGGGAACAGCGTCCCTCCCTTGGGAGCCATCCCGGCCCTGAATCGCCTCCTGCTCCCCGGGGAAGGGCCGGAATTAAAGCGTGAGCGAGAGCGGTGAATAAGGACGGGAATGTGCGGCGATGGTAAAACGCGGACTGGTTTTTATGGGTGTGTTTGCGGTGTATTTTGTAGGTCAGTTCCAGCACACGGTGCGAAAGGAAGGAGGATGGAAGAAGGAAACGCTGCCAAGGAAAGAGTCCTCATTACTGGAGGAGGGGGTTATTTTGGCTTCCGGTTAGTGCATTAAATAGTTATTACATACAGGAATAAATACAAGAGATTGCTGCTGGGGAGGCATCAAAATCCATCTGTAAAAGGCAGACCTGTGGGCCTGAGACACCTGATCCAGGTGTTCCCATCTTCTGGTTCAGCCGGGGTCTCAGTTTTAAACAACCTCAGTCACTCTGTTTCCAGAGGCTGTAAGTAAAGCTGTTATCCCCTTTCCAAATGTCCGGCAGCAGCTGCCCGGCAGACATTTATTTACCTGTGTGCTCACCTCTGTAGAGGGGCGGGATCACCACCGTCAGCCCGCTCTGAAGGACAAGCCCACACTTGTTTTCTTTTGACCTGCAAATAGTTACACGTATGCTTAGCTCTATAGGTTAACAACTCCAGCTGAACTCTCAAGAATATATTACTTTCATGAACAGTGGTGGTTTAGGATTAGGGTTGTTAATAAGGTGCACATATCAGTGGAATCCATTTTCCCTTGCTGCAGCCCATGTAAAGAAAAAATCCTATTTTGAGCCCTAGACTATAACTGCTGACAGAGGGAGAGAGATCACAGTCAGAACCAGAAAATAAAGTAAATTTCAAGTCAAGGGAAGGAAAAAAAATCTCAGGAGATGCCTGTCTGACTTCTGCTTGGCTTTTCCCTCCACTCTCACACCCTTAAAGCACAATAGACATACAAAAACGTAGGAAAGGGGAAGAGAAACACCAGAGTTACACTTTGTGTCAATACCTGTGACTTGGAGTAAAATGTAGACATGTGGCAAAGCATTCATAGTAGCTTAGAAGCATCTCTCCTGCTCCTCTGTAAATTTCAAACACAATGGCAAAGACCAACCTGTTGTTTTGCCAGAACTGGGATGGCCAAAAGCAGTAAGATAAAATAAGTAAAGCTTTTTTTCATAAAAAATATTTGGCAATAGTTGCACGTTTGAAAATTGCTGTTGCTGATCTCTTCAGAATTTTCATTTACAGCAGTTCTGCCTCTTTTTTCTTTTTCTCCTTTTTCTCCGAGTATTGATGGAATGTGAGAAATCAGTTCAGTACCTAAACTATCACAGCTGAATATTCCCTGTAGTGGGGGGCTGAGCATTTAAAAGACTCCCACCAGAAAAATAATCAGCATACAAACAGTTAATAGTCTTCTCCCCCTTCCAGGTGAGATGTTTCATGCACCATGGTGCCATATCCTAACTCATGGTTTCTGTCATGTTTCAGTTTAGGTTGTGCCATATATCAAAAGGGAGTGGATGTGATCCTCTTTGATGTGGTGAAGCCCCTTCAAACCATGCCAGAGGGAATGAAGTTCATGCAGGGGGATATCTGTTGCCTGACAGAAGTGGAAGGAGCTCTCAGAGATGTAATCTGCGTGTTCCATATCGCTTCCTATGGAATGTCTGGCAGGGAGCAGCTGAACCGAAAACTTATAGAAGATGTTAACGTGAAAGGAACAGAAAATGTCATCCAGGCCTGCAGGAGCAGGGGAGTGCCCAGCCTGGTCTATACAAGTACCTACAATGTGATATTTGGGGGCCAGATTATAGAAAATGGGGATGAGTCTCTGCCTTACTTACCTCTGCACCTTCACCCTGATCACTACTCCAGAACGAAATCCGTAGCAGAAATGAAGGTGCTGGAGGCAAACGGTGCTGAGCTGGGAGATGGGAGAGGTGTCCTGAGGACCTGTGCTCTGCGGCCAGCAGGGATCTACGGGCCTGGGGAGCAGAGACACCTGCCAAGAATAGTCAGCTACATTGAAAGGGGACTGTTTAAATTCGTCTATGGAGACCCTCTGAGCCTAGTGGAGTTTGTACACGTGGACAACCTGGTCCAGGCTCACGTCCTTGCCTCCGAGGCCCTCAGAGCCAGCAAGCAGCACATTGCTGCAGGCCAGGCCTATTTCATTTCTGATGGCAGGCCTGTCAATAACTTTGAATTTTTCCGACCACTGGTGGAAGGTTTGGGTTACAAGTTCCCAACCTTGCGCCTTCCCCTCTCCCTTGTCTATTTTTTTGCATTCCTTACTGAAATAGTTCATTTCCTTGTGGGGCACGTCTATAACTTCCAGCCCCTCCTCACTCGCACGGAGGTTTACAAAACTGGTGTCACACACTACTTCAGCATGGAGAAGGCCAGGAAGGAGCTGGGCTATGAGCCCCAGCAGTACAACTTGGATGAAGTGGTGGAGTGGTTTAGAGCCCAGGGATGTGGACCAAAGCCAAGAAATTACACCATGATGCACCTGGTTAGAGATGGAGGACTGCTTGTATTGCTGATTGCTGTGCTGGTCTCCTGGCTTCCATCAGCAGCAACATTTTCACTCTGAAAGATGAAATGCTGAGGACAGAATTTAGTTATGTTCTCTGCTTACTCTTGGTTTTGACAGACATGTAATAAAAGATTTTTTAAAAAACACATACTTGTGTGATTGAGGTAAATAACAGCTCTATCCCCAAGGAATGGAACTGAGTAAAAAGGTGCAATTTTTTATATATTCATTCTCTTCAAAGTGAAATTGATCAGATCACTAACAAGATGAAGCTCAGTATTACTGCAAACAGCATTTTACTCTCAGGTACAACAGCACAATACAGTGAACGGAACAAATGTCCTTAGGCTGACTCTTCCTCCCTGATGGGATTTTACTCCTGATCACTGCCCTTTATTCCTAAAGAGTTTGTATTACATGATCCAGAGGAGAATAAACTTATTCTTTGATCACATTCCAAACCCCAGTTCTGCTTCTCAACTTGGATGTATATATGCCTCACCAAGATTAACTGATAAACTTCTAGACAATAAATAAATGAGGTTTTTACATGAATACATTCTGGTGTGCTTTCCTGAGTTAACTCTGATATCTAATGACATTTCTGGAAAATGCACCATGCTTAATCTAAATTACCACAAAGTGCTTGAAGCACCACAGATTTGTAGATTTTTCTAACAGTAAAATATGCCTGTTTAAAATGAATGAGCCAGCTGAAAGTGCATTCATAAATAAAACCTGTGATTTTTCCCAGCATTATGGAATGGTTAAACAAATAATTCATCAAAGACATTTGGTGAGCGATTGAGTTCACGTTCCACGATTTATAAAACACTTTTAGCCTTTAATAATGTTTCTTTAACACCTGACACCATCTAAATAGAATTTCAGCTTTGTGATAGGAAGATAAACACTTGCTACAAGGAAACTCATAATTTTGTGGAATTTTAAGATTAGAAGATAAGACTAAAAGTACAGGTCACAGCTGTCCCATGCAATTCCATCTGCCAATTTAATACATAAACTGAGAAACTTCACCTCAAATTTTAAACACAAAGTTGTTTTCCCTTAACTCATCAGCATTGCAGCTTCTGTACCCCTTGATAAAAGCAGAATCCTCACAGAATTTAAAACTTCTCTTTAGACTTTAGTCTTTCCATTTTAATAGCTGAAGTTACACTGATCTTAAATTAAGAGTAACTTCCAGATACTTCTGTTCAACTCTGCTGCAACCGAAATGGGGAAGTAAAGAACAAGAAGCAGAGCAGTTCCATTGCACTGTTAAAGGATTCTCAGAAAACAAGAGGCCTAAAGGGAGGAACCAAGCTAGAAATCCACAGCCACCCCTGCTTAGACTTTTACAGCTCATGGTGACTAAAGACAGCATCATTTTTTTACTGTTCTCTTCCTGATAATTTTACCTTAAAAAACAAAACCCAGCCCAGGCTATTGATAACTTTTTGTATTGTTATGCTTCAGATCTGACTTTTCTCCCTCATTCTCCTACCAGTAAGTACACCATGAAAGAAACTAAATTTAATACTTAGCTTGAGGGACAGCTCAAGAGAGAACTCACTTTTTTTCCCCTCTCTAATAGCAAATAAGCTGTTTCTGCAGCAGGAGTGTTGCACTCTCTTATAAAGAGCTTATATGTCTCCAACTGAGCGCTGATGGCACAGGGGCCACTCTCCAGGAGTCATTAATATACAACGTCATCTGCAGAAAGAAAAAATCTTCTTTTTAATAAAACAGAAAAAAGACATCCATGACCTCATGAAAGCACTGGGCCGATGCTCTCTTTCCAACAGCTCTGTTTTTTCAAGTGGAAACCACTTTGTTCTTTTCCCCTTTAAGTTCTCTGGCTTTGACACAGTGTTATCAGAAATAGATTACAAAATTCTAATGCCAGCAGAAGACAAAACCAAAATGTAGAAGAAATTGCACAAGCCTGTTGCACAGAAACAGCATTGGTATTTCATGTCAAGTCTTTTAAAAAAATGGTTTTAACATAGGGAACTGAACTCCTGTGCCTCAGAGGAATTTTCTCTGCTATTTGTAATCTTTCAGCAAAACTCAGCTACTGCTATTTATAATTATCTCAATGGTGGGGTTATGAAAATCATCTATGGAAGGGTCCTTAAGCCAAGAATCCTAAATCCACACTGTCAATACCAGCTGAGGTTCAGGCCCTGGTCAGCTTTGAGGTACAGCAGCAGCAGCTCCTGACAAGACAAAAACAGGCCCACAAAACCCCAAATACCAGAAGTCCTGCAGGAGCTGAGCTCAACTCGTGAAGCTTTTCATCTGCCTGGAGTCAAGGCCAGAACTCTGATAACAGAGCAGGAGGAATTGTTTTGTCCCAATGGCCCAAGAGTGCTCCAGCACACGGGATTAATGTGGGGACACACCCCGAGCCATCATCAGAGCACTGATTAATTCCCCATCAATTAGCTCCAGCTATTAAAAAAAAACCAAAGTGCTGACCACAGCAGAGGTGAAGGATATACTTACTCTTTCCAAAAGGAAAACAGGCAGTCTGTGGCTTTAAAAGATACTTTAAAATTGCTTGAAAATTCCATCCCTGTAAAGACAGTCACAGCTGCCCTATTTGAAGTGTTTTACAACAAGAATTCTCTCTCCTTTTTCCTGTTTTTTTTATCATTATTCCTCATGCATGAATATCTGGGTAAATTAGGGTAATTAATTCAAGTGTTGTGTCTCTTTTCAAATTTTCATCTTACCCGTTTTCCTGAAACTGAATTACCAGAAATGCACCTAAAAAATGGAAGAGCAGAATGAAAATATAGCTCAGATTCAATTTTTCCTAATCCTCAAAATTACTGAACAATTGATAGGTGCCTTACTATAAAGGATGATGCTGATGTTTAAAGTGAATAGTTTAAGAATACTTGGTCAGCTACTTAACCTCAGGCACAGCATTTCAAGGTACAAATTTGCAAGATATACATGAAAGCTTATACTTCTCATGTGTATTTAAACATATTTATTTTAGATTCTCCATCAAACCAGATTTTTCTGTCCTTCTCCTAAGGGACCCAACCAAAATGTTCCTTTGTTTCTATTTATTACTGATTTCCACATACTTTCCAAAGTGCAGTGTCTTATTAAATAATTCACTATGTGCTCTTCAGAGAAAAGGGTCCTGAAGGCTGATAATTTACAGATACTGTAAAGAATCTGGGTATTAAACTGTATTTCAGGAGTACAGAAGTGTTGGGGGAACTACTGCTTTACTTTAGTCAAGCTCACAGTTCCCTGTTTTACTGGAGTAACAGCTAAAAATGTAGACTAGCAATGAATTCAACTGCTCTTAATTTAATTTAAATTCTTTTAAAACTAATAGCTGAGCATGTTTATAAATGCTGTTATGGATCAGAAGATAAATTAATCTCTGAACTGATTCTGAAGGTTAATTTTCATTATATTTAACTTCTATTTCTCATGCTATAAAGGGAATTTCAGTCTGGAACAAAGCCAGCTAGTTGGACTGCAGTTAAAATGCTGACACATGACTGTAGCAGATCTCAACCACTGCACTTCAGCTTCCACACCAATTCAGATTTTTCCAACTGGTTTGGAGAATTCAAACATAATGGCTGGTACCCAGCTCACACCTTCTCTGAGGCTAAAGAACTGCAAAACTAACAAAATGCTTTCAACACAGAAATATATAGATCTGTTGGGGCAGCAAAAAGTGGCAATACAGGCAACAAAACACCTAAATGTAGTAATGTTTTGGACTCCAGAACTCATGCATATCAATACTCACTAAGGTGATAAAGACTCTTTGTCTGATTTAATGACCTTCCTGAAGAATTAGGCTGCAGACACCTCATATGGATTCATGTTCAACAAGCCTGTAATTTGGATCAAAAGATGAGAAAAAATTTGTTCCCAAGACTCCCAACAATTAAAAAAATCAGCACATAAAGACAGTGCACCCACCCAGCAGCAGTTCTCCCAGCAATCTCACAGGCAGAACGTGTTCTGATAAATATTTTTTGTAAACATCAATATTACTGTTCTTCCAAATTACCACAAATTTAATCTTTGCCTTGCTCAGATGTTACTGTTCAAGCTCATACAAATGTGACTCTCACTAGAGCTGGAGTTTGTATCTGTCTCTCACTGAAAAAGGTTGGTTTGGAGTCACAAGTTAAACTCGATCTTTGACCTTTTCCTTCTGCCTCGTGTGTTTGGGGCCAGAGGAAGTGCCATGATAACCATGTCTACTGAAACAATCTCTAAGTCAGTTCATCTTAAAAACACAGAAATGCCCTTCTTCCAACCTCTAGCAGAGCACACCATACCACACCAGATCGCTCTTCAGTAAGAACTCACTGCTTCAAATTACTGTCAAAAGTAATGAAATTCAACAAAACAATGCTTAAACAAAGAAGCACCTGGCACCATTCACATCAACATGAGATATCAACAATTTTTTATTAAAATAAGTTATTTCAATGATTTAAAACAGTTTCTGTAAGAATATAACAATTTAACAATTGTTAACTTCAAAAATGTATAAATGTTTTCCCTCCTGGATTAAAAAAATTCGCACACACTTTCAAACCTTCTTTCATACTCAAACTGCTGCAACTGTGATAAAGCTGCCTCAGAGCCTGCCCCACGGAAGAACTGAGAGGTGAGGTCTTGCAGATAAAACACAGAGTGCAAAACCAAGAGAAGAGTTAGCAAATAGCCTTGCCCACCACTTGCAAGTCAGCAGAAGGCTCACTGCAGTATTTTCATTCAGTGTAACATCATATTCTGGGGGAAAGTTTTACTGTAAAACAAAATGCATTTGCATAAACACTGATGGAGTGGCTCTTATAACCCCTGACATTGTGCATGAGTGTAGAATGTGCACAGCACTTTCCAAAGGACTACAAAATGAGCTAATTCTTAAATCTTTGCACAAGAGCAGCATGAGGGACTCGCTCCTGTGTCCATCACACAGTGGCTGTGCTGTGTCAGGAATACACACCCCAGTGGAGGAAGCCAGGACAAATGGACAGTTTGGTTGGGTCTGCTCTAGAACTGAGCTTAAAAAGAATTCTGACAGGCAGAACAATCCACACCTGGATAATGAAGATAAAACCAGCTCTATACAGCAGTCTAGGTTATAGCTCCACCTCCCAAATCCACAGTTGATGTTGATTTTTTTTTTCTTTGAGCAGGGTTTACACCCATCTAATCCTTGAACAGGTCAATCACAGCTGGGTACTGATTTCAGGAAGGAGAATGAAAAGGAGAGAATTGCCTTTAACTTTTCTGTTTTCAGTTGGGTGATTAGTAATTAATTTCTTTATAATAAAAAATTTACAGAAGCCACCCCCATTGTGGGATACACTATTATAACACTTTCATCTCTGAGACAAGACTGTCTTTACAGAATAGCTAAAGCCTCAAGGGGGTTCCTCAAACCATCATCTGTGAATGCACAATGGCATCAATTAAGAGCCTCTTGAAACAACAGAACTCACAGCATGGGGAGCAAGAGAAACTGAAAATTGCTGAGGCAGCTGCATCAGGCCATGAATCCCAAATCTGTGCAAGTCCTCTGTGATCAGAAGTACAGCTCTGTGGAAGCAGCATTTTATGCCTCAGGCAGTCACTCCAAAAACTGAACTCCTCTGCACATACTTGAACACTGAAATTGGGAATATAGATAGCAAAACTCATCCCATGTAGAGATACAACAAACAGAAATTTGATGGTAACAATACAGCACTAGCACAAAGGACCAACACATACACAAATGATGACAACTGCTGTTAAATATTCCATCGAAGGCCTTTAGTTCTGCTCTGGCAGGAAAATACACTTGCTAATCTAACAAGTATTCTCATCTGCAGCTTCATGTTCTTGATTTGATTAAAGGCACCAGAAGGATGTACCTCTATATTTGTGCACACTATCATTCTTGGATTAGTTACATTTTGGGAAAACAATCTACATTTACAGAACACTATCATTCGACTATCGTCTATGTAGGACTGCAAGATTAAAAATTGACAGTTCATTTAAAAATTCATTTCTAAGCACATTAGCAGCTGAAAGGATTTGCAGAAATGATACTGTACAAAAGTAAGTGCTCCTCAGAATTTTAAATACCTTCCCTTTCTGCAAACAAATAGATATCTCTTACTTCCTTCCAGTGCCTCAAGGCTGTGAACAGAAGTTCACAGGGGCTATGAATAGAGGTTCACACATTGCTCCTTTCTTGAACCTTTAAAGAGAGTTCAACAAGAAAAACACAACTACAGTAACAGAGGGTACTTTCTTTCAACAAAATTAACATATTATCTTGTTCTCAAAAATGTAACAGAAAATTTTTAATAAGAGATAATAGCTGCCCAAAACATTTTGTACAGTATCAGCAACACAATCTGCTGTCTTGAGGATTGTAACATACATGACGTGACAATGCTGGTGTAGAAGTGCTTTTACAGCATTTAATAAATTAAAAGCTCACTACTAGATAATCTTGAGGAGCCAGGTTGTTAAGTGGTGTGATCCCATGCATGCAAATAGCTGTGACTGTCTTATCTGTGACACTGTGCCTTGTACACACATGCAGGAGATGATTCGTACTTCAGGTATTGATAGTGAGAAGTGAGGTCCATCCAACTACACATCCTCAAGTTTTAAAAACCTTGAATACACAGAAGTTCTGGCCTGCACAGAGGGTATGCTTTGTACAGAATATAAATTATTAGGTATTAAAACAGTTTTACTTAGGAGAAAAATTATAAAGGAAATCCATATTTCCTCTTCCTTTTCTTCCAGTCATTCTGTCTGATGAGACCGTCACTGAGTTGGACGACCAGGATAAATTCATCTCTTCCTGAATTGCACCATAAAGCACACACCAAAGAATGATGGGCTCTAAGAGTAGAATTTGCTGTTACTGACTTTCTTCTCCTTTAATCTTAAGGGAAAAGAAAAGGAAAAAGTCAAGCCTAATAGGAATTTCTCAGAGGAAAACAGTCTACCAAATTCAATGTACTTGGATACCAGTGGCAAGTTATGTATCAGCAATGAGTACTGCAATTTTTCCCTCAATAAATGGGAGTAAATAAGTGATTCACACAGCTGTTCAGCACACACAAAAAAGAGCAAGAATATTTAAAGTCTTGAGATCCACTCAAAACTTCCCCTTGCTACATGAAGCCTCCCTCTATCTCCCTCACACCCAGCCAAAGGTGACAGCAAAGGAGAAGGAACCTTCCCCTAAGCTCTGGATAATGCACTGACACTGAACTGACAATGCTGTGCTGTTACAACTCAATACTGGTTTTATCTTTTGTGGTTTGTGTATCTGTTCCCACATATCTCATATGTGCATGACATTTCCAGGGACATAACTCTGATAGTGTAGCAAGAGTGAAGAGGTTGATTTATTTGTCTGTATATACTTCCAGGCTTTCCTCCCAGAGAGCAGCAGAGAGGGATATAAAACCTGCCAGGATTACAAGTGTCACTGTGATCACTGCCACTGAGATTCCTCTGCACACATTCCTCAGCTTCTGCTGGCCTCTAGTGGCTTGAGGCCCAGCCTGGCTTCTCTACAGCCCTTTCTCATTCCAGATGAGCTCATTCTACCCTCACCACTCTGTAGATGCTCCCTTTGGTATGGCTGAGGTTTCTTACAGTAAATCCTGTCTAGACAGAACTGCCTTGGAAAGGAAAATGATCATCAACCCACCTGCGGTTGCAAGTCTCTTGATAAATCTGTAGTTTGTGCTCATTGACGTTGAATTCTTTCAGAATTGCATCCCTGTTGGGGTTCCTCAGGTTCATGTGGCTGTCATAGAGGAACAGCTGGGTGTTCAGCTCCTCCTGGCGCTTCCGAAGCTGCCGACAGGAGGAATAAAGCTCCTCTTCACTTTCCTTCAAAGGAACATTGGAAATCAAAGAGATTTTGTAAAAATTGTTCCCAAAATGAGACAGAACCAGCAGAGTTTGGGGGATTATTTTGTTTTCCTAACCACATTTTAATAACTGCATAGAACATTCTATAAAATTAGTTTGATTGGATGTTTCTGGAGTGTTTCTGGAAACAAACTTAGAAAGCACTAAGAAAACCCCTCAGCCCCACAGTAAGACCAGCCATACTCTCTGACAGGGGCATCAGGGACATTCTAGCACAGATCACAAAATTTGTGTATTTAAACACTTCTATTGGAATATCTTTCCTTAATAGTCTGTTGAGGAAAGAACAGAAAATAATGCATCATGATGGCTTATCAGATTATAATAATATTAAAAATACACTTTTAAATGTTTAGGTTTTGGCTCTTCCATCATGTTTGCCTATCATGTGACAAAGTGACAATCCTGGGGATTTTCTATTGAAATGTAGACTAAAGGTCAAAATACTGACTGGTAAATAGGACCCCTTACAGCAGCAAATACTCAGATGTACCAAGAAAGAAGGACAGATCCTGTATTTTTATGTGACTATGGCAATTCAGTACTTGCAAAGGAACTGAGTAGGTCTGAGTTTCTATTGTGGCCCACAGAAGAAGGTCTCAAAATATTCTACAACCATAAGCAATCATCATTATTCCCTTTAGGACTCCAAATTATTTTAATACTTCAAAACTTTGGATGCAAAAGCTGCCTCTTTATAGAGTTACTAGTAGGGAAAAGAACTGGCAGGACTGAAGTCTTAATTTTCACATCAGCAGCAAAACAAGATACTCCTTCTACAAGAAATGACATGCAATCAATAAATGTAATAAATCCAAACATTTTCAGAGGCAGCATACTAATAAGAATGCCTCTTTCTGCATTCAGTACAGATCTAGGAAAATTGATAGCTTAGCAACATACCCAAGAGGTTTCAGTTACAGCAACAAGATCCCTTCCTAAACCTTTTTTCCTCCTGAAACACATTCCTCTGCAGGCATGGGCTGAAGTAACTGAAACAGCCTAGGAGCTATGCTCCTGATTAAGACTTAAAGAGTAATTTATTTAATTTTTGTTTGTAAAGGGGTAGGAAACTTTGTATTCCCAAATCACAAAAGAAATGGAGATTGTTAATTACCAATTTGCAGGTGTAATCATCAAGATATATATGTACCACTGTTATTTCTGGTAGATAAATGTATCCACAAAGGTACAGCTTAAACTGTATTTTAAGATGTCCACTTCAATCTTTAAGTCAAGAACATATATAGCATTGAGGCTGATTGTAGTCAGACAAAGCTGAAGAAGTACATGCACTTTCTGAAGGAAGTAAATCAATTTTCAAGCAAATAAGACATGCCTCTAAGTGCAACAACCACCTCAGTATAGTATGATTCCTACAACATCAAAAAATATGTTTAAGTTGTACAGCAACTAAGGCCCCACATAATAATTCAAAAATGTGTATATTTATGTCTAAAATGTTTTTGCTTTACTATTCCTGATAAACTTCACAGCCATCTGTAATTCCTCATTACAATTCTGTATTTCATCTCCAAGCACATGCAGATGGGCTCTGTATATAAACAGATATTATTAAATGGCATTATTTATGGAAGGCCTGTTATTAAATGTCATTATTTTATGGAAGGCCATCACTTCTTAAAAAGAAGCAGAGGAACAGAGGCAGCCTTGATGTTTTCTGATGCTTCTTGAATGACCTGGCAAAAGTTCTAGAGTTGACAACTGTGGTGAGTCTGGGCTTGTTGCAGGTTGCCAAACAAAAGGAAGTTTTTGGAAGTTGTCCTGCACTGCATTGCCACGAGGCATTGTAAAAACACCGAGCTGAGCTGCATCTTCATTTGGCTTGACAAGCAGAAGGGGATTCTAGAGTGTGAAATGTGCTACTGTCAAAGGAGTCAGTGCTGACAGATTGGGGGACAGACTGCTGCTATGAACAACATTTGAGAGCTGCTCCTGCCCCAGGCAATAATGATCTGGATTCCTGAAGAGAAACCACAGCAGGAGGGGTTTGCAATGTATCCACAAGTGATGTCCATGCTCAGCATTAGGCAATGGTGACTTTGGCAGTTTTCTCTAAGGGATCAAGCCCAGGACCAGCAGTTTACCAGGCCTCCCCTATGAGACTTGAGTCACTGAAATATGAACAATTTAAATGTTATCTTGAAAGGATACAGGTCTCCTCTTCACACACACACATCCCTGGTCTCAGCTTCTGATCCTCTCCTGCTCTCAGATCCCTTGGCTGGCCCACAGAAGGAACTTAGAGAACCTACCACAGCTTTCAAACACTGCCATTGCACACACTGTCATTTTACACCAGGTGTTATAAGGGGGCTTCATAAAAACCTCCACAAAGAATGTTTGAAAAAGGCTTCCACTCCTCTGGGAAGAACAATGTGACTGAATTCAGAAATTTCCAGTTCAGTGTATGCAACTAGAGGTACAAGTCCCTCCAGAGACATAATGACTTAGAGTTCACAGAAGCTGATGTTTCAATCAGGAAAATAATGTCACTAGTGTGAAGTGCAGCGTGGGCCTGAATGGTTTGACAGACTAAAAATAAGAACTTGAAATTTCTTTTTCTCTGAATCAGAAGGGTGCTGGAAAGCACCCTGAAATAGCCACTTCCCAGAAGCATCTTTAAACTTTCATCATATCACAAGTGTATTTAAGTTATGTAATATATTATTGAGAAAGAGTCTGAAAAATATCCTACAAATCAACATATACAGCAGCACCCTTGGAACACCAACAAATACTGTTCACAGATCAGCTGCTTTAATGCCTGGATTCATGAGCATCATTATTTTTCCCCCATGTGTTTTAAAATACTACTATTTCAAGTAGGTGTTTAGAGAGGCTTAAATGGAGAAGATTAGCAGTTCTTTAAGAACCAGATAAGTCTTCTACTTGATGGGTTGTTTATTTTAATGAAATACTGGGAGAAATTACTATCTTCTATTGCTGAAGTGATTTCTTTTTATGTAGGACCTTTAAAAACAAAAAGATTAATCTATGAAGCCAAAGCTGATTTTAGCTAGCTTTGCATGGCATCAGTCAGTTAACAAGGAAAGACAACGACCATGCTGTTACAGCAAAAACTATTGGAGGTAATGAGGCTTTGTTTGTGTGTTATTTCTTTTAACAACCGTGTAATCTGTCCACCCAGAGGGAGAGTAACTCAATTTGTGCTATTTGTGTTCCCCAGTACCTGCAGAAGAAATGCTTGACAACAGCACATCAGACACAGAACAGAAAACTGAATCCTCAGTTCCTGGCTCCCACAAAGAACTGCAAACAGACACCCTGAGTGCACACAACAAACCCCAGAGCTTCTCACCAGAACTTGTTGCACCTCACAGTGCACCAGCAGCGAGGCCAGCTCTATATCTTCACTGTAGCCATTCTTGAGAGGAACTGACCTAAAACCTGGGGCAGGGGAAGGAAAACAAAGGGCAATTACAGAATCCATCAAGGGGAAATTCACAGTCATAGAAATGGTGCACACTTTGAACATTCTTCAGTGCTCAAATGCTCCTCTGAGAGGAGGCTCTACTATGGCAATTGCAGAGAAGCAAAAGGCAAGACTGGCAAAATTGAGAAACACCTGATTTCAGATGCTCTTGAAAAGTAAAGCCAGAGGAAGGAGCTTCATCCAGGCAGGAGGGAGTCTGGCATCAGAGAGGAAGGCACAGGTCACTAATGCTCAACAACACCTCATTATAGCTGCTGATCTCACCTGATTTGATTCCTTTGATGGGAAAAGTGGCATGTGCTAAGAAGTTGGGATCACTGAACATATCCTCCTCATAAACAACAAAGCGCAGGAACGCCAGATTTGGGTCGTAAATCTCAAATCTCACTTGCTCTGCATAAGGTGCCCAAATTGGATTAAGGCCATTGTCATCTGTAATGAAAAGGAAACATTTGCAGTATGAAGCAATAATTTCACTTCATTCACATATGAGTGTGTATCCCAGGAAGTTTTCTAGGGATATAGAAGCCCAAAAATCCTATTTGCCATCTGTCTCATGTTGTAACCTTGCTTCAGAAAGTTTGTATTTGTTTACTTGGTGGTGGGGGTGGGAGGAAACTTGGCAGGGATGAAAATCCATGAAGAAAAGCTATTATTTGTATTCAAACATATAAAACCTCCTAGGACATGTATTTGTAAAGAGAAGAAAAAGCTAATTAATTTCTCACATTCATAAGCCTCATGTTCCATATCCAAGAGAAAGCGGGAAAAGCTCTAGGAAGACTCATGTACCTTGGTCCAATTTTTGTAGTTATGCACAGAACACCAAGATTTGGTTTATGTGACACAGCCAGGAAGTTTGCTTTCTAAACTCGTGGTCACTTCTCACAGAAAGTTTAAATAATAATCTTCTCTGAAGTACTGAGGAGCCACAATGCACATTCTGCTCCTGATGCTGTGGTTATTTTCCACTGGTGTCACTGGTTTGGATAATCATAACCAGAGCCTGTTTTTTACCAGAGGACCAGTGTTGCATCCATAAGCATGAAATGGTGAAATATGAAGTGGCTGAAATATTGCCCATTTCAGCACACTTAAGTTCATGCACACACAAACACATTCCTTATCCAGAACTCCCCAGGACTAAGCTTTGATCAAACTTCTAATGCATTTCAAGTTAAAATATTTTACAGCCTTAGACACCCAAGCTGCCTCCATGGGGGTGCCAGTCTCAGAACCTCAGTTTAAATAAACACAGTCTGGAGCTCACAGTAGTAACTCCCCATTTGGGCCAGACTTTTGGGAACTGACTAGCACTGTTGGAGGCACTCCCAAGACAATATTTTTTTTTAAATATGCAAAGACACAAACTTATGCATGTGCAACAACATAACAGAATGGGTCTTTTTTTTTTTTCCCAAACTGCAATAGTACTGTTTTTTTCTAAATTTGATATACATTGAAGTTTCTCAAATTAACTGGCCCCATGATAAGAAAAAGAACAAGAGTTTGTGACTCATCAGTCTAGAGCTACAGTTAAGTTACTCCCCCTGCAATGTTCATCCTCTGCTCACTTTGTTTAAGTACCCTAGAAGTAGAACCATTTCCCTGCAACACAGAAACCCACAGATACTCACTCACAACTGTTGTCTTGAATTTGCTGTTGTCATATTCAGCCCCACAAATTTCAACCTCTACAAAGGGACAGGCAATGCTTCTACCAAGTTTAGGGAGATGACGAGCACCCAAAACCTGCAAATCAACTGTAAATTAGAACCACCTCCAAAGGAAACTTGGCATCATTTTTGCTAACAGAAGGTAGCCTACAGAACTAGAGGTGGGGAAAATCCAGAACATGGAAAAGCACATATTCTCTCTCTTGAATATGTTTGCATGTATTATCTGTGCCAACAATAACAACCTCTCCAGCAGTCTGGGTAACTCAATGATTTTCATTGTAAGGAAAAAAAAGACAATGTAGGTGACATTCATTACACACAGCGTGCAGCTCCAGGCCAAGCCCGGAGCACAAGTTCTGTTATCTTTCTTCTGTGTTTATTACATACCCATTTCAAGACATTGCTGCTTTGCATTCACAGGCCCTGTTTACCTCACCTTTAAACTGTAGTGAAGAGTAATTAATGTGTTTCTTCTTTCTCAGAAAAAATACTTTTAAAGAACCTGTCTTACTGCATAGCAACTGAAAACAGAAACAAGTTCAGCCCTGTTTGGCACCCAGTCAAGATGGCAACATTTTCCAATCGTAAACTCATCTCTTAAAGAAAAATGAGAATGACATTCAGATTAAGTCATAGTGTATTAAATATGAAGTGGGGGATCAGCTTATTAGGTTTTCTGTTTAGTTTCTATATTTCATTATAACTATCTTTCTTTCACACTCAAAATCCTTGAACTAGTTAGTCTGCTGCCAATCAATCTCCAATAGGACCTTTCTACTAAGAACTCATTTGATTGGAAATTCAAGTTAGTTAATTTGATATATTTATTAGCAATTACACAAAATCATCCCAGGATTGTGTTTCCAGTCCTATAGCATGTTCTTCATTAGCATGATAAAGACATGTATTTCTTTTCAGGAACCAGTGAAGTTAGTTTTATTCTCACACACACTGACATTTAAAAACAGTATTTTGACAACCTGTCAGATCTTGCTCTGAAACATAATAGCTTTATTTTTAGTTTTATAGAGATTTATGACTTGTAAAAAATATAATTTACAAAAGAGATTTACCCTAACTGTCATAATCATCTGCAATTTCCTCTTGGAGTCATTTGGCATCGGGTCATAGTCCTCATTTCTCATGCTCTCTGGCTGCAGCACGTAGCCAGTGCGTCCATTCAGGGAAAACAAGGCATGGTTCAACTGCATGTATTTATCTGGGGAGAGAGTTAAACAGTCACAGTACAAGATACCCTGGAATAAAGCTAAGGAAATGCCAGATTAATGGCTCCTCTCTGCAATTCTTTCTGGTCACCACTTAATCAGAAAGAACTGGAAAGGTGGGCGACTCTGTTCCTTCAGTAACTGAATCTGACAGGCCATTTTTCACCAATTCTAATCCCAAAAAACCCCATCTCCATCCCCAGTTAGATTCCTACCAGTGTATCACAAACTAGCTGGCCCTCACCATGAAGTGGAATACAGCCTTCCCTGTGGCTGTATTCATTCTTCTGAAACTCACTTTAAATATATCTGCTTGCTTCCTACCAAGAGATGAAAGTGAAATAAATCTTTTAGGGCTTGGGGGCAGTTGGGCTCAGAGACAGGGCTTTTGGAGATCTATTTCTGGGGCCCAGCTCTGGATGGCAACCCACACATGGAAAAACAAATTTCAAACTTCTTCAGCTTCTTGCAGAGAAGTTCACATAATTAGGATGGTGATTAGAAGGGCCATAAAGGGGCTCATTTACAGTGAAACAGAAGGTGGATTCGATTCTTTTTCAAAGGGACAATTACCTGGAGTTTGGAAGTTCAGAGCCACCATCTGGGAGCCACAAAGCCAGAGGCGAAATGGGTCATAGTTGGATGAGTCAACCCTCTGTCCTTTGGGGTAGACACGAGTCAGCCCCTTTAGGTTGTACTTCAACAGCTCCAGTGGCTTTTGCTTCACAATGCTCTCTGCCTTGGTTTCCACAAAAGAACGGATTTCTCTGAAATCAGGATTGTCTACACAGGGGTAGGAGGGAGAAGAGTGGTTACCAAAGGAAGAAAGAAGTTGACATTTATACTGTATTTTCAACAAGACTTTGTTTTACTTTGTTTTGCCTTGTCCTTTAATGCAATAATTGGCACTGTTTTCAGGCAAAATGGTTGAAAATCAAGCCTGAAAGTTGAAATTGCCTTCCTGCCACATGCTTTACAGAAGGACAGATAAGAGCCTGCAGTCATGTTCTCATCTCATCATTGCTAATAATGTACTTCTGATCACTATAACACATATTTAAATGAGACATCTTTTCCTGGGTCTAAATGGGGAGAAAAAAGGGTGAGCCAGGGTCAGCCAATGCCTCAAAAAATAACTATAATTATAATGTCTTAAATGCAGTGACAGCTTATTAAAAACATTTACAAAGAAACTTAAAGAAAAAGGGCACATTTACTGGCTTCTCCAGCAGCAATGACAAAAAACTGGAATTAAAAGTACATATATCAGTGTCAGAATCCACAGCTGCACTTACACAGGCCCAGTTATGTTATGAAGCCATACATCATTCCAACAGCTTAGTCCTGGCAAACGTGTTCTTACAGTAAAATTAACAAATGCACAGTAAACCTATTTATGAAGGTTTTTTACAAACAAATCACAAGTGTTCAGCCAGAGTTTTTAATCTCAAAAAAGTCAATTGACATATAACTAGTGAGCTTCCCCATGGAATATACATCTGAGAGGGTGTCTCTAGTTAACTAATTAAAATTTGTGACAGCTCTTTTGTGATAGATGAGCAGCACCAAGTTCCCTGGTGTACAATTTCAAAGTGCTATTGAAAACTGCCTGGGTGAAGCAGAGCTTTGTTTTCCAGTAGGACAGTTTTTATCTTCAGACCTAAAATCCCAACTGACATCTGTAAAGACAGTAGAAAGGGTAAAAATCAAATGTAGTATTAAAGGCAATACCTAAATTGTCCTTGGTTTTGCTCGTTGGCTTGCAGTAGATTACTAGATCAGATAATTCAATGGCAATTAACTGATTCTTTTCCCAGTATTTCCTCCTGTTCTCCTGGAAAACATAACGAAGTTTAGATTCTAGGAACACTGAGTATTATGGCAGAGTAGCTCCAGGGTGCACTCTAATGAAAGCCTTCTTTGGTGCCCAGATTCCTATCTGATACCTTGGACACTTGCACAGATGTAATGCACTTTCAGACCCAGCTCAGAGAACAGGTGAGGTTTAGTTGGGGATGTTCTTATAGGGTTTTTTTTTGGTGGGGACAAAGGTGTTGTTTTGTAAGCAAGGGTTTCAGTTCTTCCCTGATCAGTCATGCCTGCAATCCTGGCAACGTATTTTTTTCTTTTAATGTGGCTCTACTCAACTCAATTTTAGTTACATTCTTAACCCTATACCTCATATAAATGCAAATGTATGCAGAAAAAATGCAAAGGGTAGTAAAGTGTTTCTGTATCTATTTATAATCCTTGGCAGAACTTGAGTCTTGTTAGTAACTCCTAAACAGTGAAATTCAAACTCTCTGAGCATCATTCCTGTGTCGTTTTCTATTTGTGCACCAAACCCATCATGTTCTGTACGGAAAATCATGTGCAAGCTTGTTAAATCCCCAAAACCAAACCTGCTCTCTCTACTTCCACGTTTGCAAGCACCTGCTCTGTGGGAGCTGAGCAGTGTTCCCTGCCAGCAGAGACTGGGAACTGCTAAAAGCAGCAGGACGTGTCCTGAGTGGAGACATTTGGGCTGGAGGCTTTTCAGGCACAAGAAGCAGCTACAGGATAAAACATGTTAGAGGAGTCCCATACTGAACAGTGACTAGCTTTGGCACCAAAGATCATGAAGCAGCAGCAGTCAGAAAGCCTTCCAAAATAATTCCCCCAACACGACAAACATAAAAGGAATGAAAATCAGAACCAGGGAGCCACAGGTTTCCACAATATCTCACTGAACCAGAGATTATAAATTGAAGTAAAAGAAAAAAGAAAGAGGAATACAGTGTTTAGACTTGGAAATAACCTTGGGAAAAAAACTGTACAAACCTCATTGTACTTAGTGATCCACCACAGTTCCCAGACATTGCTCAACAGTAACCAAAGCTCTGAGCAGCAAAAGATCACTTTTTGGTGGCATGGGCTCATTTCTAGCCAGAACCCTCTAGATATAACGAAGCAGAAGAGCAAGGAACAGCCACCCCAGGGAGCATGGCAAGTGTCAGTACTGAGCAGGGATTACAAGAGACATGAAGCTTAGTTTTATCTTTTGTGCACAACAGACATTGTCCAAAACCAAACTCATTTAAAAATCCCCCTGTATCACATTGCAGCACAGTCTTAACTCACTGTACTTTTTCCTTCCCCAAAATTCAGCCTCTTAACTGTACTGGCAACAGGGGCCTTTCCTCATCTTCATCCCCTCCCCTTGCAGCAGTCAGTCTGTCATGTGAACTTTGTGGAGGCCACGCTGTGAGAAAAGCCTCCCAACTGACAGAAATGGGTTTTAAAGCATCTTTGAACACAAACTGTTTAATACTTCTCCAACTGTATGGAGAGAGAAAAAGCTGCCAGGCTCCTGAAGAGCCATTGTTGTAGCATAAAAAACATTCAATTTGGAGGCACTTCTTTTAGGTCGTGTTTCTCTTTTACTCATTTTTACTTCTAAATGAAAGCCTGGCACACGAACTGTATCTCTCCTCCCCCAACAATAGGTCAACAGCTCCTGTTGCTTCTCCCCTTGCTGGATTTACAGTCCTCTGCTTGAGATATCAACTTGTCTGCTATAAATAGGACCAGGACAGCCCTCAGAGCACTTCCACTCCACATGACAGATAAATACCACGAGCCTGAAACACTGAAACACATTTTCTATCAACCATATCACCCACTTAATAAAAGATTAATAAAAGCAACAAAAAAAGAGTATCCTTAAGCACAGCCAAAGTAAGGATTTTTTGGTCAAGACAAAGACTTCTTAAATACTAGAAAAGATTACAGGGAGGCAAATTAGTGCATCAGAACAGGAACAGCAAGTCCTGAAGAATATCTTTCAATGGCAGTAGAGGGACATAGAAGCTAAACTTAGGCAGAATCCTTGAATCTCTAGGCAAGTATTAGGAAATACTACTATTGAAGAACTGGGAAATCCAGAATGTGGTAATTAGTTACAAATAAAGTATTAGCCAAGCAATCCTCTATCAGTGCCACTGCATTCACTGGAAAACAGAGTTAGCAAAGAGGACAAGAAGAGTTTAGGGAATGGCAGCTCAGATTTCACACACCCTCACTGGTGGATTCACAGCTCTGAAAAGAACAGTCTGGTATCAGAGCTTCTGCTCAACACTGGGATGAACCAGTGTGACCAGATGGAAAATGGTAGTGGTATCCACTCTGGCCTAGCAAGCACACTTCACTGAGGGGCAGGGTGCAATGCAGGCAGTACTCTGCTGGAAAACTCCTGTTAACATCAATTTACATAAAATGCTAATTCATGTACTATTCCCCAGAGAGGTTATGGAACAAGATGCACAGCATCAATAAAATGAGCAGACAACAGCAATATGCAAGAGGGTGAAGGACCATGTGAGAGCAACATTTAGCAGTGTAGGGCAGCTAAAGACAAAAGCTATTGCAAATTTATAACAGCACATTATTAAAACAACAACAGATGAATTTGCAGCAATACCTCTTCTGCTGTTTTCCAGGTGATCTCACGGATACTTTGGTACCATTCAAAGAGTTCTTCTACTTTATCAGTTGCAAACTCAACACATGGATCTTCTGGATTCTTAGGTTCCAGAATGAAGACAAAAGGCTTTTTGTGTTTTCCTTGTGGCATTTTCACTGTTAGGTAATACCATAGCAAGAAATTTATACTGAAATCCAACAGCTCTTTTTCTAAGGTGTCATAGTTGATTTATTGCAGCATTTAGTATTACCAAGTTTCAACATATTAATTCTGCTGGCTATATTAATACAAGTAGGTATTTGAGGGTTTGTTTTTTTTAAAATCTCTCCTGCTTAAGATAAAAGAGTCTACTTAATAAAGGTGAGAAGTCCATATATAAGCATCAGAAAATACACACCAACATTGTATGTATTGAGCACCAGGATGCCACGACACAGAGAGCCCAGTGGGTTGTCCTCAATGATCTGAAAAACATGAGTTAAATCTGACCCTAAATCTCTTGAGTGAACACACACAGGACATTAACAAATAATAAATGTGCACCATTAAATCTAATCTCAGCTTTACTGACTGCATGCTCACTATAATGTTTGAAAGCCTGTTTTCATATCCAAAAAACACACAAGGATCTCTTCAGTGAGAGAAGTCAAAACAAGACTACTTTGTAGTAGCTCCTGTCCTGACATAACTGCTGCTTTTTCAACTCTGCTTAAGGTTACAATAACCAGGAGGGAAGAAATGTAATACTTGTGGTTTTCTCCAAAGACTTCTGGAAAATCATTGGAAGTGCTTCAGAAGAACATAAGAATTCAATGTTTTATTTTTGAAATCCAAAGATGTCAAAACTTATTACTGTTCAGTTCTGTTTTCTTTTGTTCAAGTGCTTTCTTTCCAAGACAGGGGACCAAACTTTTTTAGATTATTTTGACAAACAGGATTGGTTTATGCATAAAAACTTGATTATGGAGAGTAAAACCACTCAAGGTGTGTTTGGACATATAATTTTCTTATTTGTAAATATTAAGACAGTGATTATAGAGGAAAACTAGTTAAGTTTCAGGCATGATATTTTTTAGTCTATACTATAAAAAATCTAAACTGTTCATGATTTTTATTAGCAGGAAACAACCAGAATCTCCTAAAGCCTCACCAATTCAGCTATCATAAATTCATAGATATGTGGGGGTCCCGTCCAACTCAAGATATTCTATCTCCTTAAATAGCTTTCAGCAAGGGATGTCCTGACAAAAATATTCAGCAGCAGAGAACAATGAAGAATGCATTCATCCCTCTATTCTGCTCCCTCAAACACAGCACATGGAATTGTGAGTGTATAAACCAGACTTTCACTTCAGCAGGTAGCCAAGGAAATGCAGCAAACCATTACCCTCACCTGATTTTCAAGCTCAGCAGAGTTATCAGATGACAGATCTTCAACATAATTAGATGGAAAATAATGTTGGACTTTTTCTCCATAATCCCCCTTCCACCTGAATTTAAACAGACAGGTAGAGAGAATGAAAAAAAAAGTTTAAGTGCTTCAAAAGGCTATTAATGAAGCAATAATCCCCAAGAAATTGGTCATTAATACCTCACACTAGATGGTCTAGCTGTCTATCACCAAAAATATAAATGATGAAGTAGCTAAGAGCTCTAACAAAGCAATCATTAACTGTAGTAACAGATGATTTCAGAGGGATTACAGTTACTGTAAACTGCAATTAATGACTTAAGAGGCTTTTTCCCCCACCAGTACTAAAAACACTATTATGTGGTTGATTACCCTGTAGAAACTACAGGGAAACATTAGATTCCCAAGCTTTCCAAGCAATTTACAAGCCAGCTAAAAAAGAAAACCTGTTATGAAAGGAGACTGTACAGAGCACTAAAAAGGGTGGGTTTGAGAAATGCTTAGCAGAGCAAGGACAGAAGAAGAGCAATGATTGCAATGACTTCCCAGAACACAAATGTTCAGGAAGGATGGAGGTATTATGGGAAAAATAGGGGGTATACCACACTGTGGAGGTTCTGGAGGTTGAGGTTATTGCTGTGGGATAGAAAAATGAAAAAGACATGAAAAAGAATTGAAGATGAGGGGATTTTGGGTTTAGGTTGTTGTTTTTTTTTTAATATACTGGCATAAAGATTTGTAAGGGCACAGTTAATAAGCAGCAATCAGACAACAGGCAGTTTTTAAAAACTATTACTCAAAGCTCATTTTTTCCTCCATCTAGAAAGTCACCAGAAGTCCTCCCAGGAGGAATCTTTGTCCTTACCAGCCTCCAGTTTCCTTTGTGACATTATGAATTAAAGCTCCTCGAGAGAAGCTCAATTCATCACTCCTTTTGGCTCTGTAGTCATACAAGGCTTTCACTGTTCTCTGAGGCTTTAAGAGAAACAGAGCAAAGGGGTCATCTGAGGGGACAGGTCAGAAAATAATCAATAATGCAATCTTAAAACAAAAAAAATAGGGCAGGTTGGATTTTTTTTGTTGTTGTTATGAAGCTTAGAAAACAAAATACTGAAGTTCCTGAGTGACATCTATTGGTGGAAGTAAGTGATGCTACTTTGGTACTATACAAGTATCAGCTTGGAAAAAAAAGAAAAAGAAAAAATAAAATCTTTCTTAGGTGCTGCAACATAATTAAGGTAGAAAACATAAACCCAAAAATTTTTAAAAACCCAAAGTGAAATATAAATCCTCTATTTTTATAACACATTGGAGTTTTCAGGCTTAGGTGCCTACAAAACCTCCACTTCAAAACCCCATCAGCAATCCTGCTGATCACACTTCCTTTGGGAAGAAGAAGTTTCAGCAGGATGAGCTAAACCTTCATCTTGAATTTACTCCTACTCAAATGCTACAGCAGCGATGCAAATTCACCAGCAAAAATTACTAAAAAGAATTAGTGACAAAATTTACGAGCAGGTGATTTTCATGAGAATTTGCAAGTAGGCAGGCACTGCAAGAATTACAGACAAGTAATGTTTGCTGGGACACTTGTTTTTAAAACAGAATATAAACTATAAAAATTCTAATAATTCATTAATAGACCAAAGGCACCAAATTTTTATAGAAAGCATGCGAATAAACTCTGCACTTATTTGTGCATGCAGAAGATCTTTGCTAATGGAACAAGAGTACACAGACACCCACAAACACAAATTTTCATGTTGTACTTTCTTTCCTTGAAGATGTGGCCTTCTCAAATTAAACCCTCTCACAGGTATTTAATTTGGAGACCCACAAACCAAATCACCTCCACAGACTCAAGAGCAGAAAGTGCCCAAATTCCCAGACTGAGTGAATCTCTACAGGATTTGCCCACAAGAAAATGTGTGGGTACAAATTTTAACAAGAAGCTTGAAAAAAGTCACACCCTTTCAATTTCTGTTGTCCAGTCCCCCCCCTAAACCAAGCAGTCTGATGCCTTCAATTCTTTTTATTTCTGCCAACAGGAAACCAACAAGTCTCATTTTCAGAGGTCTACAGTAAGTGTGACTATATCTCTTAAAGCATACCACTGTGGGGGTGATTTCACTGGGCTCCACATACATCTTGACTTCATAGAGGGAATTAATGTCTTTTTCCTAAAAACAAGGAAGAAAAAGTAATCAAGTTTCAGGAATCAAGAAGTTATAAAAGTACTTCATGTTTAGTGAACATTTCTTTCTGAAACCACCTTTCTGACAGCACACAGGCCAACAGAAGAGGAGGGAAGCCAGTCATCTCTGTTTTGCTCACTTCTACAGTTGAACATAACTGAAGATGAGTATGTTATTTAATCTGTCTATGCCTCAGTTTAATGAACTGAGTAAAACCTAGTGAAACAGAAATACCTCATAAAGGTATCTTTTAATCAGTCAAAAGATTTTTTTATTGTGAGTACTCTTCTATGTGCAACCAGAAAAGAAATATCTGCACTTATGATTTCTGTGTAACAGTACTTCAGTACCAGCACTGGTTTCATTATTAGATGACTCTACAACAATATACAGAGTCGTTTTTTTCATTTCATCCTCTCCTTCTGATTCCATCAGAACCCAGCCCTAAGATACAGAACCTTTGCTATAGGCAACATCATAAAAAATCCTGAGGTCTAAAATCTTTTTAGTCTCTTTTAGTCTCCCCAGAAAAAACAAAATCCTCCAGTTTTGATTTCTGCAGATCTGCCAGATGTAGTTTCCTGCAGCTTCAAAAAGACATATACTTGAAAAGTGAAGACAGCACCTCAGGCTTTCCAAAGCAAAACTCCCTCAAAATGAAACACATCCATCCAGAAAACAGCCCTTTATCCTCAGTTAATTATCCAGGCTCCTTGTTTAGTCAATGGCTAGAGACAAGTCTCCTGGGGAGATTTCCTCATGCTTATCTCACAGTGAGCTTTCAGAGGTACCTTTTACCACAGAAGGCAGTGGGACACCATCCCTGAAATGTCCAGAGTGAGAGGCACAGCAGAGTATTTCATTTTTTCTGAAGCACTTAGCAATTGGCATCTGCATGATCATTTTAAAATCAATGCCCACTTCAGCCATAGAATTCAGGGCCAACTGTAGGCAAGGCTATTACCAAAAAACAATTTTAGTAGTGCAACAACCCCCAGTACACAGTGGGGCTTCTCTAATCAAATAATCATCAAAGATGAAGCTGTTCTTCACACCTTTGTGAGAGAAGTCAGTATAGCCATCTCAATTTCATAGAAAGTGACCTGCTTAACATCGCGCAGAGATCCCGTACCAGAACCAGAGCCCAGCCCAGTCCATCCCAGCCCATCCCAGTCCATCCCAGTACCGTGCTGTAGCGCTCCAGCAGCTCCTCTGTCACGGGGTAGCGCAGTTTCATCTTCCTGTACAGCGGGTGCTTCTCGTAGTAGGTCACCAGCTCCACCAAGCTCTCAAAGTAGGCCGAGGTGCCCAGCACGAAGTGCCGCCCCTCCTGCTGGATTCGGAAATGCTTCACCTTCCCCTCTGCCCTGCAGAACAAGGGCACAGCTGTCTCTAACAAAGCTTCCTTTATTCAATTATTATGGTTATTTAATTATTTTGATAGTTATGGAAATCAGTTTTTAAAGAAAACAAATTTCTTGTGCTTGAATGCAAGGTTTGTGTTTGCAGTAAAACCATCCATTGACAACCATCCCATCCAAAACGACCCTACACCCTTTTCAAGCTGTTGAAGTTTTGTACTCCTTGTTTTCCCTGGTGTGAAATGGTTTTATTGAGATGCTGCAGCTCCTGTTACTTCAATGTCCACCTTGGTAACAGCAGAAAATTTCACCCCATAGTAAACAGGAGACTGGGGAATTTTGGACAATATTCAATACACAATAACGCATGCAAGTAAGCAACTTTATATTTTGCTAAACTATGCATTTTCAGAGAAACATAATTTGATCCGAAGGCCTGATGCAGAACATCACAGTTCTATATATTTCATTAATGCTTTTTCAAGAATCACAAAACTCTTCAAAACTATTTCCCCTGGCAAGAGGAGCCAACAATTTCACTTTGACATTTCAGTTTTATGACAAGTCAGGATTTCTAGGGGATAAGGACATAGAATCATTGATGAACCTGCATCTGCACTGTAGTTTTGAACAAAACTTTAAAATAACACTCTTTAGCAAGGAGTGTCAGGGAATGAAAGAAGGGCCACCCATAGTTCTGTATGGGAAGAACAGGACAGCTGGTGCTCAAACAATGTTTATAAAAGCATAAAGGTTCAGGCCAGTCACAAATTAACTCTTGCACATACTCTCATACATGGACCTGCTGCACAAATCAACCACACTAATCATTCAAAATTTGAAAGGAAGAAAATATCTTTTTTTTTTTTTTTTAAAGAAAAACCAGAGTATTGTTGGGCTGCTAGGCAAGGTAGTCCTACCTGTCTTTTCTTACCTGAAAGTCATGGCAAAAGAATCAGGTTCATCTCTCTTTCTAATGAGAAAGGCTCCATCGCGAGGAATTCGCATGAGCATGTCTTCTGCCTCACCCCGACTCAAGTTGTTATAGTACCAACTGCAGCAGTGAAAAACCACAATGGGCAAAGCATTACAAGGCTTGTCAAATGTCATTTTTGGAAAATAACAGACAGCGTTATTAACAACAGAGTTTCAAACATTCTAAGAAAAATTATGCATTAGATTTTCCCCACCTTGGCACCTATGACAGCAGTTTATTACAAAACATTGTAAGACAGCAGTTTATTTTGGATGAAAGCATCAAGAATATATCAGAACACCTTGTCTGTCTGAAATAATAAAACATAAATCTGCATTTGTTCCTGAAACAAAGGCACTGCATCCTGCTTTTAGTCTGCCATTCGGTTTTCAGTATTTATTCCATTTTGACATAGTAGATTTAAGATAATGCCTAAACACAGACAAAAGAAAGACACCAGGGATTTGTATTTTTTATTCAGAGCTTGATTTTATCTTTCACCATAGGGATGGACCTGTCTTGGATCCAATGTGCCTTCAGTGAAGCTGTGGCCACTTATAATGGCAATATATCTCCAGCTTATGCAGAAAGGCAGGAAAGTCTAACCTTTAAATTCTCTTTCCCAAGTCACTGGCCACCAAAGTAATCTATGGGTGGTCAGTGACTCCCAGATCCCAGGGGGACAAAAAAAAAAAGGAATTTTAAAGTCACTGATTAGTATTTTACATGCAAATATTTACTTTTGCCCACTGCACAGAAAACAAAACAAAGGGCAGTGATAACAATGTTCTGCCAAAAAACAAGAGCAAGCTCTGCCCAGGATCTGTGGCAGACAATTACCAGCTGGAAGTAAACACCATGCTTAGTTCCTATCACACGGGGTGAGGTCAGCCTAGCCAGCTCTGACAGGGTGAGGTGGAGGTGGGGTTAGGCAAATGTAGCTGTTTGGGCTCCCTGCCCCAGGAACAGAGCTTCCAGATGGCACAGGCCATGACCACTTAGTTGCCAAACCACAGCCAACTACTGAACATCCAACCCAACCCACTGGGTGTTGTAAAACACTGCACAGACAAAGGAAGAATTGGCACATTTCCACAGCATTACAGTTCTCACTGATCTTCCACTTGCTGCTAGGAAATTTGCTTTCCCAGTCACCACTCTTTGTTGTACCAGGTTCTCACAAAGTCATTGAGATCCCTCAGCATCTTTCAGGAAGCCTGTTACTCAAACTTCCATGGACAAGCAACACTGAAGTGCTCCTGAATCCAGGGGAATTTTCTATGCAAAATTCCCACCTAAATCAAGGCAAGGACAGTGACATGAGAGCAGTGCTTGGCTTCCATACGTACTCTTTGGTCTCGTGAGGGCTGGGGTTGGGCACAGCATCGGTGAGGCGCAGCTCGAACTCAGCACATCGCAGGTGGGCCTCCTTGTAGTGTTGGATGAGATCATAGATGCTGTCAAAGGTCAGGTTGTCTGTCAGATAATATTTCACAGCGTCCCCATCACTGGTGGAACGGATCCGGCAGTGCTGGACTCTGCCTGACCTCCTGAAGGAGCAGAGGGGGCATAAGGGAAACACAGGGTTTGTAACAGATTTTCTTTTTTCGAAGCATTTCCCCACCCATTCCTGGTCAACTACTTGAGGAGCTTGTGAAGAGGCAAGAAAGCTGTGTCACCTCATAAAACAGCCAAAGTAACAAACAACAAACATTCTGACAAGAGAGGTTACAAGACAAAAAACAGTAATTTTCAACTGACAGTAGTTTAAAATCTGGCATAAATTTATTCTGCAAAATTTGGTCTGACAGCTCTCTGGCTCAGAAATCCATCCAACACTATTCCTTATAACGTTCCAACCAGAAGAAAAGAGAAAACACCAAACCCAGACAAACAAATCCCCCATTAAATCTGTATGACAATGACCGTACCAGAACGACAAAGTGTAGTCATCAGGGAAAGCTTCACTTTCCCTAACCAGGAATGTCCCATCCTTGCCGCCCATTTCAGCACAATATTCCTGGAGAAGTTTCTCAGCAGTTGTTCTCCCCCCTTTCATTTTCCCATGGAACCATTTCTCTTTTAAGTGCAGTTCAGTTCGTTTCACCTCCTAGACCAGAAAATAAGAATTTTTTATAGCACATTTCTAGTTCTATGACTTTGAAACTAAGTACTTGTCATTGGTTATACATAACCATCTACTATTTGAGGATTTCAGTTCTCCCTAGGCCTGAACTCTCCAGCCAATCACCTTTATAATTAGCCTGCTTTACCATCCACAGCAGCCAAGTAACACATTAATAACACAATACACATGAGTTCACTCTGCTTAGTTTGAGAATAGCAGTAATACTTAAAAGACTTAGTGCAAACATCAGCATTAGCACAGAGGTACTGAAGTTATATTTCATTGTTCTTGTACTTATCCTTGCAAGTCCTTCACTAACCAAGGGAAAAAGTTATTTTGTTAAAAATAAGGTTAACTAGAGTTGACCTTGGCAAAGACCCTTTTATAGTTTTTTTTTATCCCCACACTTGTTATCTAATACAGAATCTCTAAAATTTCATCAGGATAAAAAATAGACATCTGTAGACATTGAAATAATCTCAAATAATAAAAAGAACATGCTTAAACAATAAAACACAGCCATCACCTTGGATGAATCTTCATCAGCACTCTGTTCTATATCATCACTGAATGAAAGCTTTTCATCAGCAATAGCGCAGTAGTGCCGAGTCCATTTCTGAAAGTTGGGAGTTAAAAGTTAAAACCATTAACAGAGGGAAACTCACTAATCACTCTCAACCACCATCTCAAAACATGGTGCAACCGAAAAAAAAAAGGCTGTCTTCCCCTCATCCATACTTGTTCAACTGACAATATTACTTACAGAAATATTAAGGAAATTCATGTAAATTTTCAGTATTACAGAACTGATCAACAACCTGTAGCAGATGTCATAGAAATAATACCTGTTCTATTGTGTCCCACATGTAAAGTTCTCCTTGTTGCTTCTTTTCTTCTTTCTTTTCTTCCAAGTTCACATCAATGTCTCCCTTTGGCCCCAGTTTTTTGTGCTTAAAAAACAGAGAAAAAAAAATAAACATTCACACACTCAGAGATAATCACACATAAAATCGGTCGTATTCTTTCAGCACATTCAGAGTTACTGGAAGTATCTCTCTCTATTGCACACCCACCTTCTGTCATTATCATAACAGCAGCTGTTCCACAAGGAATAACAGGGCTGAACTTGTTTATTTAAAATTTAGATCCCATTAATAAAAGTTAAAAAATCTAGCAGAGGTATCACTGAAGCAATGAAGAAACAAGTAGTTTGATAAGATCTCCCCATTCTTTGGAGAACAGAAAACATGAAGTGACACATACCAAGAAATAAGGATAAACAGGAATCCTTCTGCAGAAAGTAGCACATAAGGAACAAAACTCAAAACAAAAGGAAAAGCTAAGGAATTAAAATGAATGAGGAATTCACCCTTTTATGAGAAAAATTAGTAAAAGGGAAATCTCTTGTGAAAAAAGGGGTCAAGTTCTACTTTCTTTAGAGAGTTCACAAAAGTGTCTCAACGGGCCACAGGCAACATCAATTACTTAACTGCAGTTAATGATGGAATTAATCATCTCATACCAGACCTCAACCATGTTCAGTTCTGCACAGCCTACTCTTGGCTGATTTCATTTTGACAGGCCTATCTGAATAATCTCACAGGCCAGTGAAGTAGGTGTTGCCTCTGACTGTTTACTGACAACATTTTCCAAACAAAATCCAAACAACACAACCAGCTCACTGGCAGGTGCTGATCTATTTAAAGACTTGTCAATGCTCTTTTAGACAGCACAGAGTGATATGGATGTTCTCTTGTGCACACTCATAATAGTTTGCAATTCCCTTTAAATCAGATCTGTCACATTATTATTAATCATGTGCCCATTGCAAGTCCCCTCTCTGCTCTGCACGGAAACAACAGACAGTCTGGAGAGAACAAAAAAAATCCCCAAAAATTTAAGCACAGAAGTTTTCCACCTTATAGTTGAGTTCTGGTTTTTCCAATCTTACATTCAGGAGCATATTCTTACACCTATCTACCCTTATTTCTTCCATTCAGATGTCTAATACATAGGATCCAATACTGTTACAAGAGCAAGAAAACAGAAGCACAGACAAAAGTAATTATTGTTTTACTATAGAGATTGCAAGCAGCCCTGAGATTGTTCACCAAATTTTGCCGTTTGAAAAGTTCTACCACAGTTTCAATCTGAGAAATCTTTTGCTTGTGTTGTTGTTGCACTGACAGGGACTGCCCTCTCAGAGCAGTGCCTCTGTGTTTCACAAGTGGCTCCCTAAACTGCATATTTAAATCACACTGACTTAGCAAACACTCATCAATTTGTGAAATCTTTACAACTTCAGTTGCAGCCGCAAGAGTTTGGGTTTCACTTGAATGAAGGGCAGTCTTTGAAAAAAAAAAAAAACAGTAATACTGATCTATCTTCCTATTTAAGAACATACTTCTATCATTTTTAAGCAGGCCACATGGTGTAAAACGTGTGTGATGAAACATCTGCAACAGCGAACCCTCACTGAAATTTAGCAATGACATTTCAGGAGGTAGAAGACCTTTAGAAAAGAGCTAACGTTTGATCTGGCACTTGAACTGCCAACACTTACTGCAAAGGAAACCAAGAGGAAGCACTTTAATACAGAGTTTTACAGAACACTGTACATTATTGGCAAATGTAACCAGTAAACACTTCAAGCAAGGGGTTTCTTGAAACTAATCTGTGAAGTCAGCAAGAGTATTTCAGGCTCCTGCTCTTATTCTCCTATTTTCTCTCCCAGCACACAAAGCAAGCCTACCTTGATGATGATTTTTTCTTTCAGCTGGGTTGGTGATGGGAGCTGATCTGCACTGGCTTCAACAGGCTTCATCAAAAGCTGGTCCCCAAACACCTCCTTGAACACTTTGGCCATGTGTCGCTGCTGCTCCACACTGCAGTGCTCTTCAATCGACAGAATCACTGGGTATCTTTGGTGGACAAAACCAAGGTGAAGACAATTTCTTTTTGCTACAGCTGGCAAGGCAAGGAAGGCAACACCCTCCCTCAGCCCCCAGATGAGTGAAAAATATTTAAAGGAAACAAGAAGACAAAAGGAAGATATAGACACAAAAAATAATAACAGATGTGCAATCATGGAGTTGCCAAGGTCAGAAGGGACTTGTGAAGGCCCACCTAACCCAAACCCCTTCTTTGGGAAGGCCCAATTCCTAGGTTAGATCAGGTTGTTCAGAACTTTATCCAGCCAAGATTTTAATATCTGCAAGGAGAAAGATTCCCTCCAAGCTCTTTGGGCACAGATTCACTGCTAAAGCACCATAATGTGAAAATTTGCTTCACCTCTCCTCAAAATCATGTCTGTTTTCCTTCACATGTACTCTGAGAAGAGTCTGAAACCATCCCATGCATGGTTGTCACTAACACTAATGCATCCCATGTTATGGTTGTCACTAACACAAAGTTCCTTTGCAGACACTGAGGCACATGGGAAAATATTGCATCTCTGTGTCCAAGTGGTAACATGGAAAAACAGGACACTGACAGCTTGATTTCTTCCCCAATTATTGGGTAATATTTTTCAGGTTAAGGACATCTCAGCACAAGTTAAAGAAGGGCAGAGATGCAGATCTAAACTGAGGTTACCAGTTCAGGGGACATGCTCTGAGTTCTGTATCTTCTCAGCTAAGACCTTCCCTATAACAGAAACACCATGTGACAGACTATTCTTTGTCAATTGTACCATTTTGTTTATTTTTTTTGTAAGGTTTAAGACAGACTATTAAGCATTTGAAGTTTCACTTGCAACTTAATAAAAGAAGACCCAAAAAAGGAGCTGGAAACACTATACTTTAGGGTATTCACTATCTTCCTTAGCAACAAATGGTTACGCTCTGGAACTCTTCCTCAAAACAGCATCTATTAAACACCCACATGTGGCAATAATGAAGGCTATTGGAATCCATTACTCTGTGATTACTTTTTGCTCTAGATTACAGTGAAATTCAGTTCAGAAAGGTCTAAGCACATGAAAACAGGCTGAAGGAAAATAAATCTTACTCAGATGTAACAAAGGCATGGTCTTTGATTGCCTGCACTACATCATCGAATTTGATTTTTGTTGTCCGTGTCCATCCATGGTAAATGATGGGTTTCCCATCAGGACCATCCCAGCAATCCACTAGGAAACACAAGCAGTGGGAAAAGTAAGAGACCTGGTAGCTCCTGAAATTACTCTGGTAAGAAGAATACATCCAAAACTTCAGTGTTCTATATACTGATTCATAGACCTTAATATTCTAATAAAATATCCCATCAGATGAATTTATTCTCTCACAGAGGAAACTGAGTTTACTTAAGTAAGAGCAAGACAAATAAAATACATTACAAAATGTTCCCAAAGCATAATTGTGTGGAAATCTGGAAATAAGAGATTCAGGCAACTATAGTGTCAATCTACTAGTTTACAGTAATTTTCCAGGAATAAATACATTCCAACAACTGACAAGATGAGAGCTTCTGTCTTTTGTTTATTTCAACCCTGAAACTCTAATTTGAGATACATTTTGCATTAGTCAAATAAACAACATGAAATTGAAGTGAAAATTCTCAATAAGGAACACAATAAGTACAGTGCTGCAGACACATACACAATTGCTGGAGAACAAAGACATTAACTGATTTACAAGCAAGTTAAACAGGATGACAAAAGGCACAACATCACAAAAATCTCGGTGCCTTAGGCTTGTCTGTATTACAATGAAGGTAAATAAACTATACAAGTACTCCAGCTTAAATCCTAAGCTTTCATATGGATTCAGGATTTAATTTTTGGTGTAAAGTGAGAGGAGATTTAGGAAGACTCTCTTAAAACTGCCTGGGAACAAGAATCAGAGGAAGTGAACAAGGCATTGGTGAGAAATAAGAAAAACAATTTAGGAATCAGTGATTTTTATATGACTAACTTCAAATTCAGAAAGCAAACAGTTCTTGATTTCAGTTCTTTTTTCTTTCTTGGTAAACAGGGGAAACTACTTGTACAGACCAAATGTTACAAACCACTCCACAAGCTCTTTACTCACACTCAATACATCGACATCCCATCCTGAGGCACCTGATGTAAGCTTCTGTGGAGGATTCACTGCGAAGCTGGTCTCCTGTCAAGTACCTAAGGAGCAAAAGGAAATGTTAAAAAAGAGAGGCAGTCAATTTCAACCAGTTCTCACTCACCCACTGGGTGATATTTTGCCTCCTCTTATGGACAATGTATGTTGATTTGTTTTGGTTTTTCTAATTCTGATGGAAGAAACAGACTTCGCTGAACCTGATGCTCTCAGGTTTTTGAACAGACCAAACTATAGCAGGTTAAAGGCTCAATCTAAATAGCAACCAACCTGACATCCTTCTGGAGAGCAAATCATGAGCTTTGAAACCCACCTAAACCTCATTATGCTCATGCATGAGCATGTGGGAGGTATTTAGAGTAATATCACCCCTTATACTTCAAAATACACCTGCATGCTATATCTATATCCACTTTATTGCATTCCCTGCATTATTTTATTTGTTCATCTCTCGTCCCTCTCTTTACACCTTGTTTTCCACTACAGTGCCAGATGAGCAAATCCCCTTCATTTGAAGACAGCACAAACTCATCGTCACATACTCTGTACAATTAATGAATTTTGACGTGAGCTCAGTGAGACTGTTGGTGCTTGGAAAAAAAGGAAGCCCCTTCAGTAACTTAAATTCTTGAAAGCAGAGAGGCTTTCAGAACAGTTTCAACTCAATACTTTATATTTTTTACCAGGACTGAATATTACTAGTGTCATATTCAAAACTAAGATAAACCAGTTTAATCCACAGGACTTGCATTTTCTGGAACCTGAGTTATATCTCAAAACCTCTAAGATCTTATGAGAAAAGGAAAAAAGAGTCACAGAAACTCCATTTGTCACATTTAGACCACACTGTAGGAAGGTTTCACACATCCACACAGCACATTTCTGGCATAATTTACTGTCTCTCTCACATTGCTACATTTTTTGAGCTGGGATAGACAATGGGACTTCTGGTAACTTACGTGTTATGAGAGGAGGAAATCCAGTAGTGGGACAAAGGATTATTCATGTCCTGCACATCTATTGAATCATATTTCTCATCCCAAATACTGTTTTCTTTTGCAAATAGGTAAGCGAGGAACTACAATACAAAGAGACTGAATTTAAACATTTTTACCCTATGAAAATTAAAGAAACCCAGCAATGCAGCAAGAGGGGACTACAAGTCCTGGCACCCAGTGAAAATTCTGTGAAAGAAGTCTATGAGAACTACTACAAAGCACCATTATCTCACCTCATCAACAAAGAGGAAAGGTTCAGCAGTTTCTCTCATAGTGTCATCAATAAACTTTGTCATTCGTTCTCGGACTTTACTGAGATCCTGTGCCCAAGATTCCTTCAGAAAATTGCAATACAGTAAAAAAAAACTTTAGAAGTGGTGTTATTCAGTACAAAAATCAAACAAGGAACAGAGAGATCTACAGAGAGAGACACACTATCTAAGTACATATGTGCATTGACAGGGAAAAAAGCTGGCCTCCTTGGACATGCCTCAACTATAATCTCTTTCATTTCTAAGTGCCTTAAATAACAGTGCCTTAGAAAACATCCTTTGAAAACAGTGAAATTGGGAGAAAAAGAAAGTAGCAAGCTTACACAGGAAGTGTAGGTCTCATTTTTCAATCACTTTTGCAAACCTGGAGCTCAGCAGTGCCTACCAAATACTGCACCATTTTTTCACATGGAGTCTGTGCTAAATAACATTACAGGAATCCACGAAGACACATTTCCAATCCCTGCCTTTATCCTTATCTGCTTGCTGGCACAGGACATCTAACTGGCTCCATTCAATAGGAAATTACCTCTGACTGCAATGCAGGCAGGCAGCAATGTGAGAGCTGCAAAAATGGGGCCACGGCCAAGGCATCACCCCATTGCTCCTCTGGTGACAGCAGGGACCAGACCAGGCATTCATCTCTGACTGCAAGCAGCATTTATTTCTAACCTTGTCTGTTTATCTACATGACTAAATGGAGGCTTGTTAAAACCTTATTTACTTTGTCCTCCCTCTTGTCCTCTGGTGCACGTTCAGAAGCTTTATATAGATGAAAAATAATAGTTCTTGTGGACTTTAATGGAGAAGGAGAAATCTTTCCAAGGCCCAGTATTACAGTGGCATCAATCATATTCTATGACTCCTCACATTTCTTTTTAATGAGCACAGAATTCTGTGATACAGCCCCAAGAAAAAGAGTTCAGTATTTCTGTAACCTTCCCACCTGCTGCTCATGTAGCAGGAATCTCTGGAAGTCATGGAGGTGAACTGCTGAAGCATCTGGACGGTCAGTATTTCTTTAAAAAAAAGAAAGGGAAAATGAAGCTAAAGAAATAAGAGAGGTTAATCAGATGTTACAGCAGAAGATTACATGGGTTTGTATCTTAGATTTACAGTATAAAGGTGCTGCCACCAGCAAGAGACTTTTTGTAATTTCAATGGGATTTAGAGGAGGCTTTTATCATCCAATTACTTATTTTGAGCCTCCTGGATTCCTGATGTACTTTTGAGAGGGATTCATTGGGAAAAGCACCAAATCTGTAGCCATTGCTTTGTAGCAAATGAGCTGCATTAACTTGACCAGGGTTTTGGTAAGTTTAGTTGAGGTACAGGCAAAAGCTTCTTTTAAATTATCACAGAGCCACACTTCACAAGTAATTCCTTCTTTTTAATATTTAGATGAACTACTGTGATAGACCTAAATCTTCTGAAAAAGGGACAAGGTGCAGCTGCACCAAGGAAAAGTGATCTCACTGATGTGCCTTCTGTAAGTCACAAAAACAGCAGCATCCTGTACCAGGAAGGTGCTTACAAATCTGTGCTTTTAAGCAGCCTCACAGTTTAATTATTAATTAATTATTAATTATTATTAATTATATTAATTAATTTAATTATTTATTATTATTAATCATAATAATAATTATTATTAATTATTTAATTATTAATTATTAATTATTATTAATTATGACCCAGAGTTAAGGAAATACTCAGAGCAAATTTTACAGTTACTTCCTTAATCTGTTAGTGTCATATTCAAAACTAAGATAAACCAGTTTAATCAACAATCAATGGGTCAGCAATGCCTGGCACCTTCCTCATGCTGTACACATCTTACTTAAACTTTCAAGTCCATCAAGTGGAAGATGCAGAAACCATTACTACCAGCATTCAGCTCAGCTCTAGGCAAAGCCTGTGCACCACACCACTCTCCAGACTGAAGCAAAACTTTCTGCATCAAATTGTCCTTCTATAGCTCTGTTCAGCTCTTTACAAAATCAGAGGACAGGCAACTTCAGTCCATACCATTTTTGTAGGCACAAAGTAAAAAGCAATCACCAGGGCTTACTTGCAACATAAGTTCACCTTTCTGAATGCAAAAACATTCATGATTTCTTTTGACTTACTAAAATATTAGAACAAAAAATAAAATTTAAAAAAAGTGAGGTAATATAAAAACAATCCTGCAACACTACAACCATATGAAAATGTGGAAAAATAATAGAAATGAAAAGTCTCACCCAAGAATGAAAACAGAGGAATCCTTTTTGAATTCATCAAGAATCTTAAAACAAACAAAAAACAAACAAACAAAAAAAATAAAACATAAAAAAAGGGAAAAACATAAAGAATATCCAATTTTCTATCTAAGTCCACCTAATAATGTCCATTGGTTTGGAAAGGGGAAATAAATGCCTATCTGCTCTAGAGCAGTTGCACACAAGTCGGCAAGACACATTTTTAATTAAATACATAAGAAAAACCATACTGCCAAGGCTGGCAACTGCACTTCAGGCCTTTCAATGTGAACACAATTCTCATACAAAATACTTGCTTTGACAAAGCACAAGCAGTCAAATTTCTGGGGAGCTTTTACTGTTTGATACCACAGAAAAACTGGAATTAAGTATCATTCATCACATTTATTCAAGTGAATATAAAACCTAAATTGTTTCTAGCTTGGCACAGCATCGTTAGAGATTTCAGGAAACTTATCAAGTGACCCAAAGCACTTGTAAGCAAATTGAGAAATTTCTTTGCAATGATTCACACAGGGCAATAACAGGAGCTTAAAGAAGTCAGAGAGGCTCCTTGCTGTGTGTTTTACTCTTCAGCTTTCTGCTCAGGCTAATTAACAGGACTTTCATGGCCAAAACTAAAATCCTGCCAGTTAATCTAGGGGTTTTATCACTTCACCATGATTTCAGCATCACTTTTAAACAGCACAAGCTGTATTGCCAGAAAATCAGCATTGACTTTGACTATCTAAGCTTCTACTTTAGCATCTGCAAAATTAAAGTTGAATCCACAATAAGCACATAGTGAAGAAAGACATTCATGCAAGTAATTTCAAATTATGTGTTTTCACACAGTTTTAAAGGGTTCCTAACTTTCAGAGTCACTAAAAGTATGCAGTTTCCACCAGCTTCATGAATCTGTACAGCAAATACAAGGAAACAGGCAGTTGCCCACTTGAATTAGCTAAAATGTAATTCCACAGCATTTATGCCTCCCAAGGACTGTCTCATGCATGTCCTCTAATGGACTTGCTGCTGCTAATCTGGAATATGGAATTGCTTCTACCAGTAAAAAATACCAGCCAAACCTAATGAAAAGACATTCTGAACAAACTCACGAAAGCATCCTGAACAAACTCACAAAATTAGTTCCTCCTAAAAACCCACCAGTGTCTGTGCCTGTCTTTACTACCAACACCCAAGAAGCATCATGAATGACTTGTTCATCTCCTTAGGCCAATTGCTAACAGTGATTGTTATCTACACATCGAGTACAGCACTCATTCTTTTTCTGGTACAAGAACAAGGAAAAAAGAAAATCAGTAACAAACAAAAAGATAACCAGCTCTGACTACTCTGATGCAGCAGTTGAACAGCATGAAGACAATTTATTAAAAGCTTACCAATTTCTGTTGTTCAAACATGATTTTCTTGTAGAACAAATGAAATTGTTCAAAAGTAAGCTCTTCCTTGTGAGCACCTATTTCCTACAACAGAAAGTAGCACACAGTGAATTTAGAATTCCTTGAACTGCCCCTTGCACAATGAACAAGTTACTCTTACTCCAGTTGGCATTCTCTGTTCTACTCCAACTTGAATTTTTAAATTTATTTATGTTTTTAAGAATACAAACAAGAAAACAGATGTTGGTTTATGACATGGTGTTCCTAGCCCCCATCTTTGGCCTTGCATTTTGCACCCTCACTCCACTTCCATAACCAAGAGAGAAGAAGAGCATCATTTAGTCATTGTGAGCCAGCAGAAGCAAGAATGTCTGCTTTAAGGGTGGAGAATTGGAAAGCAGGAAAGGGTGGGGATATTCAAGGTTCCTGTAGGAACGGAATGACCTTCAAAAGTTATTAATATTGGCATTAGTTGGAGAGAAGAGGTTATTAGTTAATAATATTGAAAAAAATTATTATTAAATTCATGTAGAAAAAAGAAAAAATACTTTTCTATGTACTTGTTCAGTACTGGAGCTCAAAAGCCAATGTTGGCTTTGGGGACCACACAATGAAAAGAAGGAACATTTATATCTGTATTTTCTTATACCCCCAGATACAGGCAAAGCCAAGCTGACAGATTAATCACTGTACATGATATAAATCAAAAAAAACGGAAGTGTCCTAAAAAGAAACATCAACACTTATCAGATACTACCAAACACATTTGAGTAATCAGGTAATTACCGCAAATTTATCCTTCAAGTACTTCATGCTGCTCACTTTGAAGTTTACTTGGGGAAGGACAGTTTTCAGCTCTCTAAGACTGATACTGGGGGAAAAAGAGGAAAAAAAAAAAAGGATAGCAAAATCACCACAATGTGTTGTGTCTAGACAGCTACTCATGTATTTTTATCTACACAAAAATGTGACTATTGAAACATTTTGTGTGAAGTTCATCTCACATACCTGTAAACTTATATATACTTAACAGCTACATGGAAGCAAGGTAGACATGGAGAAACAGGCATTTCAAGTAATTTGGAATTAAAATAACTATGTTTCATAGATATGTATTTCTCTCTCAGCAATAATCAGATCTAGATAATCAGCTCAAATGTAGATGTTTATACATGGTCAGATGAACTCCAGCCTTTCTTTCACTGAAATTGGATTACAGGCACAGAAAACATCAAGCAAAGGCTGTACTGAACAGATGAGCACAAACAGAATAAAAAACCCCAATTTTCAATACCATTTTAACCTTTTTCTCTGGATGTTATTCAGTCTGGTAACGCTGATTTGCAGCAGCAAGACTCTTCCCTTCTGCAACATCTGAACATGATCTCATTCTTCTCTCCCAACCAAGTCTTCCCTTCCAGTTCCATTTACACAGACCTGCTAGTTCTTTTCACAGAGTTTCAGAATGCCCAATGATATCCCAGTAACACTTCAAAAACAAAAGTTTTCTGGATAACAGCAAGGCAGCACAGGTACAAGACCTGTAAAGCCCACAAAATATTAAAGCAATGCCAACAACATCCAACAAAACAAGACTGAGGGACTCTGCCTTGGCCTACAGGACAATTCAGGAGCCATTAAACCTCTGCAAACACAAGGTCAGAACAGAGTTGCTTGAAAGCAACAAAACCAATCAGCACGTAGATGAAAGTAACAGTTCCATTCCACATTGTCCATTCCAGCAGCTACCCTGTAATATTCTCATCTCCATTGTGCAAGAGGGAAAGAGGCAAAGCAAGAAGGAACTAAGCCAAATTCCATGCCCAAGCCAGATTAGAAGTCAGGAAATTCCTGGCTTTCCGCCTTGTCGCCAGACTCTGGGAAAAAAACCACTATTAGGAGCAAGAAGGAGCACTCCATTTGTACACTAAACACCAAGCACAAGCCATTTCCTCTGGCCAGACAAGGGCAAGAGAAAACAAAGAGCTGGGACTTCATTACCACTGGAAAAAGATCAACCTGTGGAACAGGACTTGCCTGGTAGCCTTACAATTAACCTTCCTAAAAACCACAGCTCTGAACACAACAGACCTCAGTCCAAACTCCTATCCTGAATTTTTCTAAAAGCATGAATCATCTAGGAAGAGAAGCGCAAGTCTTCTTGATCTCAACCGAGCTGCCTTGTAGCAATAAAACAATCCTAAAGCAACAAATGAAACCTCTTCAGCAGACACCTACTGTCAGTCCCAGCTGCTCCATCCTAACATTTGCTTTTGCTGTGTGAACCCAACAGCACACCCCCATTGCAGGGTTAGCTCTGAAAATGCATCGGGGTAAAGTCAATGTCCAGTAGAGGATGGGACTGTGGCCAGCTGGGGAAACACAGCTGTGAAATGGGGTCTCAGCTCAGCCTGCACTGTGCCACAGGCTGTCTGCACTAAGGTGTGATTTCCTGCAATACCACAGCCTCAGCCACACGGTGAAACACCTCACTGCAGTTTGCTTTTGGGAAAAGCTGTACACAACAGGGAAAGCATGAGCTTTTCTACACTGATTTGTACTTAATAATAAAATGCATGTTCCAGACAAAGAGAAAAAACAGTGAAATGATAACACAGAAGGGAGGAAAAGTTAACATTCTTCTCAGTGCCACACGATTTCTGGCAACTCTAAGGAGAGGTGTGCAGCTGAATTCATTTTTTAAAATGTCTCCTTTGTGTGTAAAAGCTACAAAGCCACATCACAGATGGACCTGAAAGGAGCTACTGAAACCCAAACACATGAAGCCACACATCACACTGGGAGCTAGAGCCCCTGGGTTCTTGAGAAGCACCAGGTCAGAGGTGATTGTTTGGCTTTGGTCCATCCAAATATAAGGCAGAGACATGCCCATGGCCAGGCAGTTGCCAGCCAAACTGAATCCCTAAAATAACACCTTGCTCATTCTGGCAAAGTAATTCTAGGCTAAAATTTAAAATACTTAGCTGTCATCATTTGTTTCCTCGTTATACCATGTACATAAACCTGAGGGAATGCTATGAACACATTGTATTTAGCAAAAGGCAAAACTCAAGTTGCTAAAGCAAAGGCAAATGCCATTTTCAGGGATCTCATACTCCACATTTTGGACAATGAATTCTTTATTTCTTTTCATTCCATGTTAGAATCTGCAACAAAAAGTCACTGAAAGTCTGAAAAAAGACAGAATTTCTTACCTATTTTTTCTAGTTTGATCAACAGAATAGATCTGCTTTCTCAGCCAGCTTGTAGAAGAGGGAGAAAAAAGAATCATAGAATTATAAAGAATATACAGCCAATGAAATTTCAAAATCTATAGACAAAACTCAATAGAAATACTTAAAGGTCTTATGATTCATCTCTTTTAGCAAAGCAAAAACATTACCAGTGCAGCATTCAAGGATCCAGCCAGTTTTTTTTACCACATTTGTAAACATGTACTTTGCTGCATTTTACAGTCACATAAACAACACAGGAAGGGGAAGGGTGGGCAGGACAGAAAAGAATGAGTAACCAGAAGCTGTAAAAAAGTAAGAGGATAAAGTGAGCCAAAACTTCAGCTAATCTAAACTGGAGTAACTCCATACAGTCAATGATTTCTGCCAGATTTATCTTTGAGCTGTTGGCTCAAATATCTGTTAGATGCCTAAAAATTAAAAACTAGAGGGAAGGGAGAGGGTTTTAAGGAATTTTAAAGAAAATCCTCATTACAGTGCATGTCAGTTTTAGATGCACAGTAAAATATTTTTAGTTGCACCAATAGTAAATAAATACATATGCAATTTTTATCTAAAAGATGACTGCACTGCTAAGCTGATCTTGAGCCTCAACAGGAATTGTTCTTGTTTGACAACACCAGTGTCAAGGGCACAGTTTGGTCAGGGAGCAAGCAAGGGCAGAGCATTTCCTCACTAACAGCAGTGATGGAAAGCAATGGGGTATGGAGACATTACTGGAAATACTGAAATTCTGAAACCTTGTCCACAGAACTGGCAATCCGAGCCTGAGCAGTTTCACACACAACATGCTCCAAAGGACAAAGGTGCAGTTTCACCTTCATATGGCTGATTTTTGAATTTTCCAAGAAGCCAACACACAAACACCAGCTGTTCTTGTGACCTCATGAAGAGATTTTGTTTTGGGTGCACAGAACAAGGTGAATGGCAAGTTCACATTACTGTATGAAGCAGAATGTGACTCCAGAGCACCTATGTAGCAAAACAGACATTGAGAATTTCCATATGAGGTTTCAGTGTCCTACACTAACTGGAAAGTGTTCTTAGTGTAATTGGCAAGCACCAGTTGCTGAACCTTAAAAATTTCATTCAGATTTTCCTCTTTCAATTCCCAGTCTCAGGAAGTGAAAATATGCCCACATACCTCTCTGTGATTGCAGGTGTGGGAGCACTCATGACCTCTTGATACAAGATATTCAAGCCACACAACCATTTATCAGTATCATCTTTAGAGTCAGCTGAAAAAAGTAATGTGCTATGGTAAACATCAAAGCAAAATCAACACAAAACCAAGACATAACTTGTTTAGATAAACTCTAGTACACAAAGTTGCTGATAACCTTCCTCTTTGATAAATCTCATTGCATAGCTTCATGTTGCTACTAATAAAGATAATAAAAAACAGCATAAATTTGGGTTAGGTAAGCTCTGACAAAAAATACTTCCTTTTAGAAGGCTTTTATCAGAGGAGGAAAGTTTCAATACTTCAGCAAAAACACTATAAAACTACTGCTGAGCTCCTGTGGTAACACAAGCAAAATTCATTCTCTTATCTTCTGTCTCCAAAGTGGCAAAAGCCCAGAACCCAGATCAGAGCAACTTGAAGGACACAGACAAAAGAACTCAGTGCTGCTATGGAATAAGGCTGGTTCATTATATTCCCAGCAACCTACAACAAAATTACAATATACTGGCTTTTGACATAATCACCTTCTATTTATCTTAACCATGCCTTTCAACACAGATTGTTCCAGACTAAATTTTGGCAAGACAAACAGTAAGGGAGCAATGTACAAAATTGGTGTCGTGTATATAACACATTTTAATACAAGTCAAAAAAAGGTCTAAAAGGTCTAAAATTCCTTATGTGGCCTAGCTAGAAGCCAGGCACATCTTCTTCCCTGCCCTGCAAATTAGTATATCACTGCTTTGTTTTGTTTAAAATTTAGATTGCCTTTCCAATTCCCAAACCAGAAGAGTCCTCATCATTTATCATGATTTCATTTGGTAATTCTTCAGCCCAACAGAAGGAAGATGAGGAACTGCTTGCTGGGCACAGCTTTCCCTAGGAAATACCAGCTAAGCTGCAATAACCTCGCATGAGATGTGATTGTTACAGCCCTCAGCTGGGCAAAGTCCATTTGATTTAGCAGGCTGGCTCTGAATTTGCATGAAGGCATTCTTCAATTAAACCAGCTCTGAAAAATTATTTTCACTCAGGAGCTGAAATCTTTTATCAGCTTTCAAAGCAAACAAGTTTCTCAAAATGTGAAGATTACATTTTATTTAAACATACTTGCAAACAATGCTTTATACCCCAAGGATGAAGCTGGAGCCCAGCCTCAGCTCCCCATTGAAATGTTTTTCAATTAGTTACAATTTTGGAAAGAACACCCACCACCACTGCCAAACCAATTCTTCTCCCAAGACAATTCTGCCCCTTATGACAGCCACCATTCCCCTCAAGGAACAATTCTTTTATATTGTTTTAAGGAACCACCACAAAGCCCTTCAGCAAGGAAAAGGATTTCCCCCTGAACTGAAAGTTATGTTGCTCTGCAGCTCAGCATTACAGCAACAGCTCATGGTACCAAGTGTTTTCAAAGCATTGGCAGAGGACTGGTTTGAGAACTGCCATGGGGAGGGACTGGAGGGGCGGTCAGAGGAAATCAAGCTGAACTCCCTGGCACAGCTGCACGTAAGCACAGCCATTTACTCACAATTTCCACAGACTCCAGTCAACAATGGTAAAACTTATTTAAAAACCTCTAAGAAAGGATTAGTCTTTCATTTCAAAAGCATCTGACTGCAAAAAACTTGTATTGCAGTACTGCAATCTAGTATTGCAATTCCAGTACTTGCAATCTAGTACTGCAAAATAAGAAATTCATCCCATAAATAATTAAAAACAAAAGCTGTCAGTATTTAAATACTTACAAAGCACTCCCCTTTTGTCACATTAAGATTTTGCAATTAAGTTAAAGATTTAAATGGAGAAGCATGTTCATGCTCAGGACAGAGAGAACTACAACTCCAAATAAATCGTCTGTATGGTTCTAGACCAAGGACCCGCTACAAACCTTTTAGAAAATAAATCTCTTAGTAAATTCCACTAGTTAGAAATTGTATTCAGCCTCTACTGTAAAATCTTTGGTCTCTTTCATTTCAAAATCTTTAGGTTTGTAACCCTGGATAATGTTGCCTGTAATAAAAAGTGTTCCAACCCTTTCTATAGATACAGGGTACAAATTCCCTTTGTTTCACAAGATCTCTTAATTTAAATTTATCACTTTCCAATTTTATTTGTGGTCTCCTAGTACTTATTTAGAAGAGGTTTAGTATTATTAGGTGGCATGCACACAAATAGCCCAGACTAAAACTTCATTTTTCCAAATTAGTCTTCAATTGCCCATAGGTGATAGGAAAATTTCTGAGATACAGCTGTTTATGGCTACTACATCCAAAATCATTTTGGCCAGACCAAAAGTGTTAGGACAATATTCTGGCCACACTGAATAGCTGTCCTTAAAGAGGGCAACGTTCCTCTGCCATCAGTGCTGAAAACCTTACTGGAGTTATTTTACCTTGCTAGAAAAATCAGAAATGACACTTGCATGACGCACCACTGGGAAGTGAAACATTCCAAGTGCAGCAGGTCACAGACAAGAAGGGCTGAGTAAAAGGTCTGGCTCCAGATTTTAAGCATCTGGTGCACTCCTGAACTGCAGAAGTTAAAACCACAGTATTCTGTGCATTCCTGTTCCATCAATGTGTTTGACTTGTTCAATCAGTAACCTTAAAGAAGAAAGAAAAAAGATAAAAGTACCTGCTAAACTTAAGGTGTTGAGGACAAACTGGGTTCCATAAAAAACAGTAAAGCAGTGTTCTTCTCTGTGCCTTGCTTTGCAACGTTCAAAGTCCTTTGAATTCTTTCCTGGGCGAATTTCTTTTATTTCCATCAGATCCACTGAAAGGAAACAACATTCAGTCAGTACAACTGCAGAGCCTGAAATGGAAGGATGTATAACTCAAAGTATGCACACACATATAAAATAGCTATATATGTAAAAATGTAGATCTGTATTGGACAAGAAATGCAAATTGTGCCAGCTTTCAATCCATAAATCCACAAATAAATGGCAACAGACAATAGTAGAAAAGGACCAGAAGAAGAAAAATAACCTGTCATATTTTTATTACTTCACTGTCACTGATTTTCCATGGACAAGGTGCATACACATGGCCCTCTGGGTCACAGAAAAAGTGATTTAACAAATGGCATTAACTCTAATCAATTAATTTCCCAATTGCCATGAAAACTGTTCATAAACAAAAAAGAAAATATACAATTCTACCTTACCCACCTAAACCATCCACATAAATCTTACATAGCTAACCTTGTCAGCTAGTACAGTCACTAGTACTTTCAAGGAAAATATTTGAAGTAGGAATATAAAGAGAAAATCAAGCTTAATAATTAAAATGTTTGTGAGTTTTCTGATGGCCAGCTCCAGAGCGATCTGTGTTATTTAACATAACCTGTTGTGTCACTTTCACCTCTCAGCTCTCCAGAGAACACAGGCACGCTGGAGCACAGCAGAATGGGAACCCTGCACAAGCACACGCTCCCCCAAGTCAGCTCCCTGTTTTCAAACCCTTGCTACAGGGCCTGCAGAACAGGAGGGAGACAGCACTGAAATAGAAATATGTGTGCTCTCAAGATAAGATACTTATTAGAAAACTGAGGAAGTGGTTTTGCTCTGCCTGTGGACCAGAGAAATAAACAGCTCTTTCCACTTCTGGACAGTCTTGACTTACGAGCTACAGGACAAAGTGTGAAGAAAAACATTTCATGGCTCCTCTCAAAATGTGTTTATCAGACCTAGCAAGATCCAAGGAAAACAGCTGAGGGTTTCTGTCCCTGCATTTAAGAATGCCACAATATAAACCCCCTGTTTTACATGAGCACCTCATCAGTAACAGGAGACCTTTAAGAACATAATGAAACAGCAGCTCTGCTGCCAGACACAGGTGAGCTGAACAATAGCAAAGCTTCCACCTGTGTAATGCTGCATTTCTATGATACCAGCATGGACAGACAAGCAAGGAAGTTTATCAACAAAATCCTGATAACAAAACATTAATTCATCTTGGAACTTCTCTGCAAAGTATCCTAGGCTAAACTTCTACCAGACACTCCTTTCTCACAGTCATTAAACAACTTTTACTGTGAAAATCAGACCTCAAAGGTTAACCTGAACTAATTATAGGATACAAGCATCTTTCTTACGTGATTTTTTCCAAGAATCATTATTCTCAAGGTAGAGGTTTTAATGTCTCAGCCTCCCTCTCAAACCACAAAAATATCTCCTAAGATCTGCATGTCTGATTGGTGAAGACCCCTAAATTTAGATGCAAACTTCTAAAATAAATTCACTCTGTGCCTATAAATGACCAGGAACCAAAAGCTCCTAATGATGATTCTGATCCCTTTACCATTCAGAGCCTCAATTGGATCCTTAAAGATGTATCCAAATTACCATCCTAAATGTCACCATCTAAAAAAGCTGATCTTACACCATGAATTCACATTAATATCAACAGAGAAGAATCAGAATGCAGAGACAGAAATACCCAGATGGGGAGGGCAGGAGGCTGCATGGCTGCAGTAATGGCACGAGACTGCACACCAGGCTGCCTCATTCCAATCATTGGCAACCCCAGCCACCTCTTCTGCTTTCCCTTCACCCAACAAATCCCTGCTGAAAAACACTGTTTTAACCTCAAAGTGAATCATACCTTTCCTTTCAAAGTCCTTTAAATCCACACACATGAACAACACAACAATAGGCCCTCACAAAGTACAAACTAGAAGCAGTGATAAAGGAGATTTCACAACCTGCATTGCTGTTGTCATTTCCAGGGCCTCTTACCTCACACTGACCTCTGAAATAAACACACAAACTTACCCAATGTCTCCCCTCAGTTACACACTCTCTACAGTCCTTCTCCTTGCACTACAGCCTTCCAACCCCACCGTCCCCTTCTCCTGCATGAACCTATGTGCATATACAGAGTGGCACAAGGATTTCTGTATGCACAGACAGGTTACTGCTTCTGCAAATGGATTTTCAGAAAAGGTTTCGCTATATCCTAATTGCTAAACATTCAGTAAATAGAGGAATGGTTCAGCAAGAGAACAAAACTGAGTAAAAGAGAGGAGAAATAAATATTTATATTAAAAAACTTAAATTCAAAATTTAGCATCCCTATTATTTTCAGGCAACATATTCTATATATACTACAAAATTTGGGCAAGATATCATTACGTTTCCTTAGAAAATAAATAAAACAGGTACAAAACACAAGTTTTGTTAAACATTCTTTAGATTTTTACAGAAATAAAGATGTAATGCACATTATAGTTTCAAAAAATTAATCGAAAATACATGTATGACTTTTAATGACATTTCATAGTGTTGGTTAGGATGTATTACTCTACATTATTGAAAGAAAAGCCAATGATCAAAGGGAAAAAAGAGAAATATGAACACCAAGCATTAATTCTGGTCTTGCACTAAGCTCTGTGTCCTTCACAGGATGCCCAGGAGCTCCAGAATGGCTGATTCCAACTATACCAAGAAAGGAGCAGGCCAGGAAAAGCTGCAGCATGTTTCAGACTCAGATTAGTAAATCAACTGTACCAACGTAGTTGTTACGCAGTTACTGTGAACTTTTTTAACAGCACAATCTGTCACTGAACAATTAAAATGTAATTTCATACCTATGCCAGAACTGCAGGCACAACACTTCAGACACTATCTTTGTACTGCCTTGGAGTACTGGAGCTTTCCTCCCTCTCAATCCCACATGCAAACTGCAGAGCCATATCCTGCCCTGGCTTCACAGACACGTATTCCCGGGGCCTGATATATCCAAAAAAAGCACAGACCAGGACAGATACACCTTGCACAGTCAAACCAAATCCAATACACTAGCAGGTGCAATTTCCACAAAAAAGGTGAAAGAAGATTAAAATATTTCCTAAGGAAACATGAATCAAAGTAGAGAAATTGACTCACATCCAGCAAGACAAGGAGAGCACTCCCCCAGCACAGCCAGTCCCCAGCCAGCCAGTTTATAAAAGTCTAGTGCCACTCTAAAACTCACAATTAGCTTCCAGTTCATCCATCCCTTTATGTGACTATTTCCCCAGGATGAAGGGATCTCCTTAGCAGCCTCATCAGTCACGGATTGATTCTGGCAACTCCCTCAAGAGGCTCTTAAGGAGACCAGACTCCAAGGCACCTTCAATTACCACACTGTCTCAGGTTCTGATCTGGATGTGCATTCGAGGCAGTTCAGAGCCTGAGGCTGCCAAACTTCAGCTCCTGCTGCTGTGTTTGGCAAATCAGTGGATCCAATGGATCCTTACACTACTACATTGATACTTTCCCAATACTGCACAGATGAATTGCTCAGTGCCTTCCAGGGCACCTGACAGAGCTCTTGACTGCCATGAACTTAACAATAAACTTTTGATCCTCAGCATCTCCACTGATCTCCATTCAAATAACCCAGCAGCAGCGATCATGTTCAGTCACACACTTGCAGGTACAAATTCCTGTTACATTTCCTGCAGTCAAACTTGGAGGTAGATGGTAAAACAGAATCTGCATTTCACCACAGCAGGTGCTGTGCAAGTCGAGGGAAGACATGATACAAGATAACCAAAAGTAGAAAACTAATGTCAAGAGAACTGTGGAAAAAAACCATTCCATTGTTATACACAACACTAAGCTGCACTTCTATTAAAAGAGCAAAGTTCTGGCTCTGTCTGCCACAATGGTCATCCACCAGCCACCTCTGGGTGGGAACAGAACCATCCAGCACCTGGACAGACAGGGGCTGGGGAACAGACCCTGCTGAAAACCAGTGCCACCAGCAGAGCACCTTCTGTGAGCTGCAAGTGTCCATCTAAGTTCACTGGAAGAAGGAGAGTTTGCAAGAACACCTTTGGTGAAGTCAGGTGATGTTAGCCTGGACCATCAGGCTGCTTGCGTGTAAATGCATGGGTCAAAAAATTTTAGAAGCTGTCAACCCATCAAGGTACCCTTGATAGAAAAGTCTACAGTAACAGTGTAAAAGTTTACCTGAATCTGCCATTATGGACGAAAGAGTTCTGTAAGATAACATTCCTGATTTAAAAGCCCAGATTCCCCAGGAGTCCTTCAGCGTCTGTGGCCACAAATGGTGCTCAGCTCAAAACTCAGTCATGTACTTAATGAAGGAAAAGCAAAAGCCTACAGAGAGTTTCAGAGTAGGCTTACAGAGCCAGAAATCATGCTGTGAGCATTATTTCAGTAAGTCTCAAGAAGACTTAAGGGAAACTACTGGTAATGTTTTGAAGAAGAAAATAAGAGACTCTCATCACCCAAGGTGTGTGCACCAAGACATGAGCTGGCCATTCTCTCTATGAATACAATTGCATTTTCATGTGTATATATGTATAGTAATATTCTGCACTCAGAACCAGATATTTTTTTCCAAAAATTTGCATTACAAAATATTCCAAAGTAGATTTCATTTTAGAAAGTGAGAAACTGCCCACTGCAACAGAGGCTATGTGCAAATGAGTGCCCAATGAATGAAGAAAGCCTTTAGTAGCCTTTTGCAAATGTACTTCATGGTGGTTAGTGAGGACAATGGCTCTGCTCTCACTTCTGCAGCATTAAATATTAACTACCCAAGGCGTGTTTTAACAGCCTCTTTTTATTCAGAGCAGCAATGAAACACAAATTGTCTGTCACTCTAGAGGGAACAAGGTGAGGCTTCTCTTGGAGGACAAAGTCACAAGAAAGCAGAAATGTCCTGCAGCATGGCAGCCCAGATGTGGCAGGGACAGTAATTCAGCTCATTTAAACAGAGAAGTGTACTGAGGCATTCAGCAGCCCAAGGAAGTCATTA